CTGGGGCTGGAGGCCCTGGAGCTAGTGCTGTCGACCCTGACGTTGGAGACCCTGGAGCAGGAGGTGCCGAATCTGGGAGTGCTGCTGCTGGAGGTACTGGGACTGGAGGCCCTCGAGCTGGTGCTGTCAACCCTGGCGTTGGAGACCCTATAGCTGGAGGTGCCGGTTCTTGCGGTGCTGCTGCTGGAGGCCCTGGCGCTGGTCCTGTCGACCCTGGAGTTGGGGACCTTGAGGCTGGAGGTGCTGGTTCTGGGGGTGCTGCTACTGGTGGCGCTGGAGTTGAAGGTTCTGGAGCTGCTGGAGGCGCTGGGGCTGGAGGTACTGCTGTTGGAGTCCCTGAAGCTGGAGGTGCTGTTGCTGAAGGCGCTGGATCTGGAGGTGCTGCTCCCGGAGTCGATGGAGCTGGAGGTTCTGGGGCTGGAGGCGCTGGAGATGGAGGTGCTGCTGCTGGAGTCACTGGAGCTGGAGGTGCTGCTGGAGGCGCTGGAGCTGGAGGTTCTAGAGCTGTTGGAGGTGCTGGAGCTACTGGTACTGGTGGCACTGCATCGTCGCGACTGTTTTTTCGCTCCGCCGTCACCATCGTCTCTGCCACCGACTGAATCCGTGTCAGAATGTTATTATCTAGCCTGTAGTGGGGTGCTCTATAGCGAGTACAACCCTGTTAGGGTTTGCTATATGTATCCCAACTACTGCTAGTGAAACCCCTCCTTTGTTCATTTCTCTCTTGCCTAGCTAGCTAAACCCTAGCTATGGCTCCTCACTGTGCTTACTCTTGTGACACTCCGTGCTTCGCCAGGTTCTTAGCCTCCCGTTTTCCACTAGCCTCTCGTTACAGCCCGGCGCAGCAGTGCCTGCTCCTTCTCCTTACAGTGAGCAGACAGACTCGCTTACAGAGGGTCGTGAGCCTGTGTCTCGTCCTACCTCGCCTGTTCGCACTGGTCGCACTGGTCGTACTGTTCCTCGTAAGCGTCTGCCTCCTATCCCTGGCACACACGCTATGGCACTTCATCCTTCCTCTGTTCCATAGCGTGTTCCCCTACCGTCTCCTCCTGCGTCTTCTCTGCCTGACATTCAAGACCCTGATTCTGACCTGGTTCGTGCTGCTCACCCTACTGTCACGCGTCTGCTCGCCACAGTTGTCACTGACCCGTTGTTTGAGTCTGCTGCTGCGTCTGCCTTAGTCTCTGAGCTTGTTAACTTTGCTGATGCCTGTCGTCTAGACTACGCTGCTAGTCTTGTTGGTGAGTCTGAGTCTGTCTGTCCTCCGTCCGTCTGGGGTGAGTGTGCTCTTGGCACGGACGTCCTTGAGGACAGGTAGGAGGACTTTGAGTGTCTTCCAACCGCTGCGCCTCATCGTGGCCATGCTGCTTGCCCCTGAGGGAGACCCGGATGCACTAGACATCCTGACTCCGCGTTCTTATGCTGAGGCGATCGCGGGTCCCTACTCCTCTCAGTGGCAGATAGCCATGGACTCAGAGATGGCATCCTGGAAGTCCACAGACACTTACGTGGATGAGGTTCCCCCTCCTGGGGCGAACATCGTCGATGGCATGTGGATTTTCAGAGTGAAGCGGCCGCCGGGTTCTCCGCCTGTCTTCAAGGCTCGTTACGTTCCTAGAGGCTTCAGTCACCGACAGGGAGTTGACTTCTTCTAGACCTTCTCCCCCACCCCAAAGATGACCACTCTTCAGGTGCTGCTGCATGTTGCCGCTTAGCGTGACTACAAGATTCACTCTCTTGACTTCAGCACAGCGTTCTTACAGGGCAGTCTTCACAAGGAGATCTGGCTGCGCCACCCACCTGGCTTCACTGGGTCGTTCCCTCTTGGTACCCAGTGGAGCCTCCGTCGGCCAGTCTACGGTCTCCGTCAGGCGCCTCGTGAGTGGCACGACACACTGAGGACGACACTTGCGGCTCTTGGGTTTGCCCCTTCCACTGCTGACCCGTCGCTGCTTCTACGCACCGACACTTCGCTGCCGCCGTTCTACATCCTCGTGTACATCGACGACTTGGTCTTTGCCACTGCTAACACTAAGGCTCTCGCCCTTGTGAAGTCGGAGCTACAGAAGCGACACACGTGCTCTGACCTTGGCTTGCGTAGTTACCTTGGCTTGCAGATCACCCGGGACAGAGCACGCCGCACCATCACCCTGTGTCAGTCACACATGGTGCAGCAGGTCCTTCAGCGCTTCGGCTTCACTTGGTCCTCGCCACAGTCCACTCCTCTGGCTACAGGTCACTCGCTCTCAGCTCCACCTTTGGACGAGTCCGTAGTGCCGAGTGGCCCGTACCCAGAGCTAGTGGGCTGCCTCATGTACCTGATGACCTGCACTTGTCCTGACCTTGCGTACCCTCTTCGCCTTCTGGCTCGCTACGTGGCTCCAAAAGGTGCACATGGATGCTGCAAAGAGGGTACTGTGCTACTTGTGCAGTACATCGGGCATGGGGCTCGTGCTTGGAGGGTGGAGCTTAGTTGTCCTCACTGGACACTCAGACGCTTCTTGGGTTGACGACCAGGCTACGCAGCGGTTGTCACAGGGTTACACTTTGAGCCTTGGCTGAGGCTCTGTTTCTTGGCGGTCTACCCGGTGGTCTTCTGTTCTTAGCTCCAGTTGTGAGGCTGAGATCTACGCCACAGCCATGGTTGCACAGGAGTTACGCTGGCTCACCTACCTGCAGACTGACTAGGGAGAGCGACCTCGTTCTCCTCCTGTGAGAGTACGACGGCTTATGCCAACTATGCTTGCTTGCCTTAACTTTGTTATGCTATTTCTAGCATAGGATGATTATATGCATGCATGAATTGCTTGATTTCCTAGGCTAGGTGCTTTTCTATATTTTATTATAGTTATAGCACTGAGCTAGGTTGCGTGCACCGAGTTCTGGGCTTTTCGGTTGCCACCGAATTGCCTTCTACCGAATTCGGGAAGGCTCTGTTCGGGACGCTTCGCGACCCTCAGAACCTTCGCGTAACACCTGGTTACGGGGCCTTGTGTCGAGCCTATATATAGCCTCGTGTTGTACCCAGGTGATTATTCAATTCTGAGCTCGATCCTAGATCCTCACACCTCCAGTTCTGTATGTAGACAACAAGGCCGCCATTGCCTTGTGTCAGGAGCACAGACTGGAGCGCAGAACGAAGCACATCGCTCTGCGTTACTTCCTGGCCCGAGAGTTGGAGCAGCGTGGTCAGCTTCGTCTTGCTCACGTGGCCACTCGTGCCAACATTGCTGATATATTCACCAAGGCACTTCCGTCTGGTGATCATCAGCGCTTCTGTACTATGTTAGGCCTTGTGCCTGTTTCGTCTCACTTGTTCACTTCGTGACTTTGCTTGTACTGTGCTCTATATGTATGCTTGTGTGCTTGCTCTTGCTAGGTAGTGATCACTGTACTATTGTTGCTGCATATATTCCTCTGCATGTGACCTGGCCTTGTGGCCCTTTGCTTGTGCTTGAGTGTGTGGTGACGTTGTGATCTACCCCGAGCTTGCTTTGCTTTTCTTGACTGGTCTTGTGACCCTTTGTTCTCCCCCACTTTGTCTATGGGGGTGTGTCAAACTATATATGTGTTAGTTCTGTGTAGGCTATATTGGGGTAGCCCATATAGGGTACAACCCGAAATTTGGGTTAGTACTTGTACCCTCATTTCATTTAATGCAACATTTCCTGCTTGCTATCTTGACATAGTGTTGGAAACAAGTAACTTAACGCTTATTTTGTGTTGTAACATCGAATCGAAAACTAGGCAAGCTACAGCGGAGCAATGGCGAGCAGGGCTAATTTTATCAGGATAAATCACCCTGATACCCTGATAATCAGGGTGGTTTTTGGCTATCACACTGATGCCATAGGGTATTATTTTGAGGAGCTTGTATTTCCCTGATAGACCGGGGCTTACATTTAAGGTACACTGACGGCCCAGGGTTACCGATCTTCGTAATGAGTTTTACCCTGAATCGAGTTCATACCCTCCCCAAGCCCCCCCCCCCTCTCTCTACCCCACCCCCTATTCCCCGTAACCCGAGGTTCTTGCGTGCCAACTGTCGAAACTGAAATTTGGCAGAGGCAATATCTGAGCTGGCACAAGGGGGGCCTCCATTGGCCAGAAATACAGTTTCGCTATTATCTGCCAACGATAATATCAATACACCCAGGGTTTGCAAAACTGGTACACTGATCCTACAGGGTATAATAAAAAAAAACTAGGAATACCTTGATGGATCAGGGTTTGAACAAGGTGTCACACTGATAATCAGGTTTTTGGACTTGTGCAACACTGATCACAAGGGTTGCTGAAAACAAAAATTAGCCCTGATGGCGAGTCAACCGAGGAGGTTGACAGGAAAGTAACAGCTGGAGGTTACGCGAAGGTCAAAGGTCAGCGACCTTTGACTCGACAAATACAGCGCGACAGCAAGGACAAACAATTGATTCGGTATTGAGCAGTTGCCCGAGTCGTGACTGTATCAAACCGCAACAGCAACAGCAAAACGGTTATTATACTTTCATATTCCTTGTAATCTTATAAAAGCTTGTATTTCTTCTTTATAATCACATACCAGCGCAAGGTGGTTCAACAACATATCATTAAACGCTTCCGCAATACAACATTCCTATCAAAGTCTTAGCCTCCTAAGGACTTTTTTCAGCCCAACACGGAACATGTGTGGGGAATGTGTGGGACATGTGTGGGGTGGAGTGGCTATAAATGGAACATCTGTAAGACACGTGTGAGGTACGCGTGTGGCACGCGTGGAACACACGTGAAGACTAGGGTGCAGCAGAGGGTTGAGTGAGCAAGATGCTGCGGCTCTCCCTGCCCCGAAAGAACTCGTTGAGCAGCGAGTCGATAACTGCAGTAACCACCACACGTGTGGAGCATGTGTGCTATGGGTGGTTCTAGCGTGCAGCAGAGGGCTGGGTGAGGAGGATGTTGCGGCTCTCCCTGCCCTGGAAGAACTCGTTGAGCAGCGAGTCGACCTGTGAGGTGCCTCAAAGCTAGCGGGCAGCGGGTTGGGACAGGAGGATGTTGCGGCTCTCCCTGCCCTGGAAGAACTCGTTGAGCAGCGAGTCCAGGCCCTCCTCCGTGAAGCGAATGTACTTGCTGGCCGCCTCGCTGCTGCGCCCAAACCGACCGCCGCTCTCCAACACCGGACTGAGGGAAGGGGGGGTGGGGGAAAGGAGGAGGGGAGGGGGAGACACAAGGCACAGGTGCGAGATGAAACACAACCCCTACTTTCCAGCACCAGGCTAATGGGCCGAGGGGAAGAAAGGGCGGGAGGAAAGTGGCAAGAGGCAAGGAGAGGAGGATGTTGCGGCTCTCCCTGCCCTGGAAGAACTCGTTGAGCAGCGAGTCCAGGCCCTCCTCCGTGAAGCGAATGTACTTGCTGGCCGCCTCGCTGCTGCGCCCAAACCGACCGCCGCTCTCCAACACCGGACTGGGGTAAGGGGGAAAAGGGAGGAAGGGAGCGGGAGAGAGGGACATGGTACATGCGTGAGATGAAACACTCCTGCATCCAACGTGACCACCACTCCTGTTTATCGGGTATCCAAACCAGCACCCCACCGTCTTCCCAACTCACGTGTATCGCTGCACGAAGGCGCGGTAGCGGGCAGCAGCACCTCGGCGATCTGCAGCTGCACGGCGCACCGCAGCTCGGGGTCGGGGATCTTCCACATGCACTGCTGCACCTGGGAGCTGTAAATGCAGATGACCCAACTCACGTGTATCGCTGCACGAACGCACGGTACGCGGGCAGCAAGACCTCAGCGATCTGCAGCTGCACGGCGGACCGCAGCTCGGGGTCTGGGATCTTCCACATGCACTGCGAGCGATGCAGCTCCTCAAAGGTTGCGTTGAACACACGGAACCTGTGGGGAGAGAGAGTGGTGTGGGAGGGAGAGAGCGGGTTGGGGGTAGGGGATGGAAATAGGCAGCAACATTCCACATGCACTGCGAGCGAAGCAGCTCCTCAAAGGTTGCGTTGAACACACGGAACCTGTGGGGAGGAGGAGGGAGGAGGGGGGGAAGAGAGGTGAGATGAAAGGGGGAGCGATGGGATGGGGCAGGAACCATTTACATGCATGGCAAGCTAGGCAGCTCCTTAAACTTGGTGTTGAACACACGGGAGGAAGGAATGGAGCAGAAAGGGGAGGAAGGAATGGAGCTCCTCAAATGTGGGATAGCGTTGAAAACACACGGGAGTCTTGAGATGTCTGAAACGTTGGTGTTGAGTTGAGCACACAGTTACTCTCCTCCTTCTCATCCCCTCCATCCCCACCTTCCTTCCCTCCTCACACCTCTCATCCCCCATTCTCTCTCGCACTTCTGCACCCGCTCCACCCCCACCCCCCCCCCTCCTTCCCTTCCCTCCTTCCTTTCCACAAACATCTCTTCCACCCTTGTGTGAAAGTAGGAATTGGAACCAATAATCTCATTAGGGTAGGAACTAGCATACAGTAATCTCATTAGGGTAGGAACTAGCATACAGTAATCTCATTAGGGTAGGAACTAGCATACATAGATGGAAGAGGAGCTTGGAAGGGAAGGGTTGAAGTGACCATAGGTTGGGTTTGCCTCACTTTTGGAGAGTGAGGGAACCATAAGCCAAGTGGGTTTCATTTGGGGAGTGAGGGAACCATAAGCCAAGTGGGTTTCATTTGGGGAGTGAGGGAACCATAAGCCAAGGGGGTTTCATTTGGGGAGTGAGGGAACCATAAGCCAAGGGGGTTTCATTTGGGGAGTGAGGGAACCATAAGCCAAGTGGGTTTCATTTGGGGAGTGAGGGAACCATAAGCCAAGTGGGTTTCATTTAGGGAGTGAGGGAACCATAAGCCAAGGGGGTTTCATTTGGGGAGTGAGGGAACCATAAGCCAAGTGGGTTTCATTTGGGGAGTGAGGGAACCATAAGCCAAGGGGGTTTCATTTGGGGAGTGAGGGAACCATAAGCCAAGTGGGTTTCATTTGGGGAGTGAGGGAACCATAAGCCAAGGGGGTTTCATTTGGGGAGTGAGGGAACCATAAGCCAAGTGGGTTTCATTTGGGGAGTGAGGGAACCATAAGCCAAGTGGGTTTCATTTGGGGAGTGAGGGAACCATAAGCCAAGTGGGTTTCATTTGGGGAGTGAGGGAACCATAAGCCAAGTGGGTTTCATTTGGGGAGTGAGGGAACCATAAGCCAAGGGGGTTTCATTTGGGGAGTGAGGGAACCATAAGCCAAGTGGGTTTCATTTGGGGAGTGAGGGAACCATAAGCCGAGGGGGTTTCATTTGGGGAGTGAGGGAACCATAAGCCAAGGGGGTTTCATTTGGGGAGTGAGGGAACCATAAGCCAAGGGGGTTTCATTTGGGGAGTGAGGGAACCATAAGCCAAGTGGGTTTCATTTGGGGAGTGAGGGAACCATAAGCCAAGGGGGTTTCATTTGGGGAGTGAGGGAACCATAAGCCAAGGGGGTTTCATTTGGGGAGTGAGGGAACCATAAGCCAAGTGGGTTTCATTTGGGGAGTGAGGGAACCATAAGCCAAGGGGGTTTCATTTGGGGAGTGAGGGAACCATAAGCCAAGGGGATTTCATTTGGGGAGTGAGGGAACCATAAGCCAAGTGGGTTTCATTTGGGGAGTGAGGGAACCATAAGCCAAGGGGGTTTCATTTGGGGAGTGAGGGAACCATAAGCCAAGGGGGTTTCATTTAGGGAGTGAGGGAACCATAAGCCAAGTGGGTTTCATTTGGGGAGTGAGGGAACCATAAGCCAAGGGGGTTTCATTTGGGGAGTGAGGGAACCATAAGCCAAGGGGGTTTCATTTGGGGAGTGAGGGAACCATAAGCCAAGTGGGTTTCATTTGGGGAGTGAGGGAACCATAAGCCAAGGGGGTTTCATTTAGGGAGTGAGGGAACCATAAGCCAAGTGGGTTTCATTTGGGGAGTGAGGGAACCATAAGCCAAGGGGGTTTCATTTGGGGAGTGAGGGAACCATAAGCCAAGGGGGTTTCATTTGGGGAGTGAGGGAACCATAAGCCAAGGGGGTTTCATTTGGGGAGTGAGGGAACCATAAGCCAAGGGGGTTTCATTTGGGGAGTGAGGGAACCATAAGCCAAGGGGGTTTCATTTGGGGAGTGAGGGAACCATAAGCCAAGGGGGTTTCATTTGGGGAGTGAGGGAACCATAAGCCAAGGGGGTTTCATTTGGGGAGTGAGGGAACCATAAGCCAAGTGGGTTTCATTTGGGGAGTGAGGGAACCATAAGCCAAGTGGGTTTCATTTGGGGAGTGAGGGAACCATAAGCCAAGGGGGTTTCATTTGGGGAGTGAGGGAACCATAAGCCAAGGGGATTTCATTTGGGGAGTGAGGGAACCATAAGCCAAGGGGGTTTCATTTGGGGAGTGAGGGAACCATAAGCCAAGGGGGTTTCATTTGGGGAGTGAGGGAACCATAAGCCAAGGGGGTTTCATTTAGGGAGTGAGGGAACCATAAGCCAAGTGGGTTTCATTTGGGGAGTGAGGGAACCATAAGCCAAGGGGGTTTCATTTGGGGAGTGAGGGAACCATAAGCCAAGGGGGTTTCATTTGGGGAGTGAGGGAACCATAAGCCAAGTGGGTTTCATTTGGGGAGTGAGGGAACCATAAGCCAAGGGGGTTTCATTTAGGGAGTGAGGGAACCATAAGCCAAGTGGGTTTCATTTGGGGAGTGAGGGAACCATAAGCCAAGGGGGTTTCATTTGGGGAGTGAGGGAACCATAAGCCAAGTGGGTTTCATTTGGGGAGTGAGGGAACCATAAGCCAAGGGGGTTTCATTTGGGGAGTGAGGGAACCATAAGCCAAGGGGATTTCATTTGGGGAGTGAGGGAACCATAAGCCAAGTGGGTTTCATTTGGGGAGTGAGGGAACCATAAGCCAAGGGGGTTTCATTTGGGGAGTGAGGGAACCATAAGCCAAGTGGGTTTCATTTAGGGAGTGAGGGAACCATAAGCCAAGTGGGTTTCATTTAGGGAGTGAGGGAACCATAAGCCAAGTGGGTTTCATTTGGGGAGTGAGGGAACCATAAGCCAAGGGGGTTTCATTTGGGGAGTGAGGGAACCATAAGCCAAGGGGGTTTCATTTGGGGAGTGAGGGAACCATAAGCCAAGTGGGTTTCATTTGGGGAGTGAGGGAACCATAAGCCAAGGGGGTTTCATTTAGGGAGTGAGGGAACCATAAGCCAAGTGGGTTTCATTTGGGGAGTGAGGGAACCATAAGCCAAGGGGGTTTCATTTGGGGAGTGAGGGAACCATAAGCCAAGGGGATTTCATTTGGGGAGTGAGGGAACCATAAGCCAAGTGGGTTTCATTTGGGGAGTGAGGGAACCATAAGCCAAGGGGGTTTCATTTGGGGAGTGAGGGAACCATAAGCCAAGGGGGTTTCATTTAGGGAGTGAGGGAACCATAAGCCAAGTGGGTTTCATTTGGGGAGTGAGGGAACCATAAGCCAAGGGGGTTTCATTTGGGGAGTGAGGGAACCATAAGCCAAGGGGGTTTCATTTGGGGAGTGAGGGAACCATAAGCCAAGGGGGTTTCATTTGGGGAGTGAGGGAACCATAAGCCAAGGGGGTTTCATTTGGGGAGTGAGGGAACCATAAGCCAAGGGGGTTTCATTTGGGGAGTGAGGGAACCATAAGCCAAGGGGGTTTCATTTGGGGAGTGAGGGAACCATAAGCCAAGGGGGTTTCATTTGGGGAGTGAGGGAACCATAAGCCAAGGGGGTTTCATTTGGGGAGTGAGGGAACCATAAGCCAAGTGGGTTTCATTTGGGGGCTCCACCACAATTGGGTGGATTGGCACCCCACAATGCAAGTCTACACCCAAAGTTGGGTGTAGTCCCAACCCAACTATACACCACAATTGGTGTACAGTCACAAGTGTTGGCATGCTACAATAGATATTTCTAACACCTTCCACACCCCAAGGACTCCCCCACCGACCCCCCTCTCCCCCACTCCCCTCTCGCACCTCTGCCAACACCACCGCACGCCTCCCCCCCCAACCCCCCCCCCTCTCCCCCCACCCTTTTGCACCTCTCTTTGAGAGCGCTGCGGCTCACACTGCCCTCCCTTTCTGTTAGATTATACTACTCTTCTGTATCCTGCATTGATCCTATAAACCCTAGAATAGAGATAGGCACCCAAACTATGTTTGGGTGCACAACTAGGGTTAACCCTAGTTGGGGGTTGGAACCCAACCTTGGTCCAATTATTGGCCCCCAAGGTTGGGTTGGGAGATTATTGGCCCCCCCAATAATGTTGGCTCACCTTGACCAACATTATTGGGACCCCCCAATAATTCTCCAACCCAACTTATTGGTGGGGGGCCAATAATGTTGACTAGGTACCCAACCAACCCCCCCTTCCCTAGATCCAACTATGTAAACCCGCAGCATTCCTAATCAAGCTATCGGTTCACTTCTAACACTTTCCCCTTTCCCCACCTCTCTGTCCCCCATCCCCACCTCCCCCCTCTCTCCACCTCCTCACACATCGCACCTCTCTTTAAGAGCGCTGCAGCTCACGCTGCCCTCCCTTTCCCCTTTCCCCACCTCTCTGTCCCCCGTCCCCACCTCCCCCCTCTCTCCACCTCCTCCCACAACACACCTCTCTTTGAGAGCGCTGCGGCTCACGCTACCCTCCTTGCCATCCACTGACAGCCCCACCACTCCATGCACATCTATTTCCCCCCTTCCTCTCCCCAAGAAGAACTCCGCCCCAACCCCTCCCACCCCCCCACCTCCTTCCCCTCCCCTCCCCCTCGCACCTCTCTTTGAGAGCGCTGCGGCTCACACTGCCCTCCTTGCCGTCTGCATTCAGCCCTGCTGACGTCAGCAGCCCAAAAATCTGGCGGGCGGCGAAGAGAGAGAGAGGGGAAGGATGGGGAAGGGAGGGGAGTGGGGCAAGGGATTGAGTGAGTGGGGCAAGGGAAAGAGGGAGTGGGTGTAGGAAGGGTGGAGGGAGGGGGGAAGGGGAGAGAGGGAGTGGGGCAAGAAAGAGAGGGCATGGGGCAAGGGAGAGAGGGAGTGGGGTAAGGGAGAAAGAAAGGAAGGACAGTGTAGTGTATGCTGTGGAGAAGCAGAGGGAGTGACAGGGATTGAGGCTACAGCAGACTGAAAGTTATGGTGAGCGGCGAAGAGTGGGGAAGGATGGGGAAGGGAGGAGAGTGGGTGATGCTTGTTACAGAGAGAGCATGCAGTGCTAGTGGGAGGGGCGATTGGAGAGGTGTGCATTGTTGCATAGAAAAGCACCACCGTTCCTCATCCCCCCCTTCCTCCTACCCACCTTGTTCCACGATGTGCGTTGGTACGCCGCGGCATGTTGCTGCACGATGCGCCGCTGCCGGTCGATCCAGTCCTTCCCCACCACCTCCTTCAGCTCGCCCCTGAGGGGAAGGGGGAAGGAGAAAGGCGGGAGTGGGGAGGGTGGAGGAGGGGTGGAGGGTGGAGGGGAACGGGTGTTTGAGACGCCTCAAAGACTGCACGATGCGCCACTGCCGGTCAATCCAGTCCTTCCCCACCACCTCCTTCAGCTCGCCCCTGCGCAAAAGGAAATGTGAGATAGAATATTAGATCTAGTTCACCTCCTCGTCAAGTCCGTCAATCATCCCGCCTTTCCCGAGCCAGGAAATAAGCGGGCCCAGCCACAAAAAATGTGGGCCGTGCTCTGGCCTGGTCGGCCCAGACCGACTCGGCCCAACAGCCCGAACACATCAGCCGAAAAGCGGGCCGGTCCTGGCCGGACCAGCCTGCAGCCCAACTTTTGCTCATCCCTATACTTCCTGACGGCATGCACGATGTAGTGCACGTTGTTCAAGAGGAAGAGCTGAGTCAGAGCGGGGTCGCGGTAGAGCTTGCTCCCTGAACCACCCACAATCCCTCTCAACCACTCACTTTCTCACGGCATGCACGATGTAGTGCACGTTGTTCATGAGGAACAACTGAGTGAGCGCGGGGTCGCGGTAGAGCTTGCTCTTCCTCTCCAGGTTGGCATGCAGTGCCGCGAAGATGCGGATCGTTGCCTCGCCAAACAGGTTCTCCCGCCCAAACAGCTCCTGCATGGTCGCCTGGTAGCTGATGGGGAAGCAAATGGGAAAGGGGAGAGGAAGAGGAGGAGACGGGACGAGGAAGGGGAGAGAACGGAGGTTGTGCTCAAGACGGCTAATACTTTGCGACATGGTGCTTCCAAAAATCAGTCATGCACTCGTAGAGCTGTTCGAGGTAGTGAGCCCCTCTGTGCCCCTTCTTTGAGGCTCAATACTTGGATAACCAGCTACGCAAGCATAAAGGTATTTGAAGAACCTAACAACGTAGCCCGTGCGTGACGTGGCCCTAAACATTTCGTAAGCCATAAAAAGAAAAAGAAAAGAAAAGAGATAGAAAACGTTAAAACGAAGTAAAATAGAAAGCAATATAGCAGCGCACTCATAAAGGTATTTGAGGTAGTTGACGACGTAGCTGGTGAGGCCGTGCGTGGCCCCATCGGGCAGCACCTTGTCGCTGTCCTCACTCTCCACTGCCAGCTCAAAGTTGTTGAACGCCTCCTTGGCCGCCGCCGCCAGGTGCTGCAGCAGCTGCTGCGCGCTGCCCCGGATGGCATCACAGGCTGACCCCGCAAACACCACCTCCACCTGTGAGTGATGAGAGGAGAGGGTGAAGGGGATGGCAGGCAGATACTCTTGAAACTTGGACAATAGCTGCTGCGCACTGCCCCGGATGGCATCACAGGCTGACCCCGCAAACACCACCTCCACCTGTGAGCGATGAGAGGAGAGGGTGAAGGGGATGGCAGGCAGATACTCTTGAAACTTGGACAATAGCTGCTGCGCACTGCCCCGGATGGCATCACAGGCTGACCCCGCAAACACCACCTCCACCTGTGAGCGATGAGAGGAGAGGGTGAAGGGGATGGCAGGCAGATACTCTTGAAACTTGGACAATAGCTGCTGCGCACTGCCCCGGATGGCATCACAGGCTGACCCCGCAAACACCACCTCCACCTGTGAGCAGTCCGGATTGGGTAGAGGGGTGGGCGGAGAGGGAGGGAGGCAGGATGGAAGGAGGGGGGGAGGATGGTATGCAGGTGGGGGAGAGGAGTAACAGATGAGGAGATTATAAGAGTGCTGTCGCTACTGTGCTGTGCCCTGGATGGTCTCACACACCAAGCCTGCAAACATCACCTCCACCTGCAGTCCTGTACGGGGGGTTGAGGGGGCGAGAGGGGAGAGAGGGGAATGGGGAGTGGCAGGTAGGTGGGGGACGAGAAAGGCTGGTGAGAGGATCTTCCTCCAGTAGCCTCCTGGATTCCATGCATCGCTCCCTGCAGACACGGTGTGGCAGCTGCATCGCCTGGTCTATGGCTTGAAGCAGGCGCCAAGGGAGTCGCATGCCAAGCTGTCTGTCACTCTACAGTCCCTTGGCTTCTCTGCTTCTCATTCTGACACTAGCCTTTTCTTTCGCTCATCACCTCGTTGGTTCTTTGTTCTGGTGTATGTTGACGATATGATCGTGCTTGCAGATTACAATGCAGACATGAATCAGATGAAGCGGTCGCTGCAGGAGCGCCTCAAGTGCAAGCCCGTGTCCACCCCACTTCCTTTCGGCCACCAGCTCGCCCCACCCTCTTCTCCCTCCTCCTCCTCTCACCCCTATGCCGAGCTCGTCGGGTCGCAGATGTACGCCATGATGAGCACCCGCCCCGACCTTGCCTACCCCATCAGCGCGCTCGCTTGCTTCGGTGGCCCGAGCCGCCACACCACCGAGCACTGGAAAGCCGCTAAGCAGGTCCTACGCTACCTCCGCGGTGTCAAAACTTAGGCTTAGAAGCGATGCATTAGTAATGAGCTTGAAGCTCTTTAAGTACATCCAAGAAGGGTAAGGAATAGTTGGGGAAGGGAATCAGAGCCAATCCCTAGGGATTGGATCCCTAGGGATTGGGGGTAATCCCAAGGCAATCTCCAATTGGTGGGTTGGAGATTGCTTGGAGATTACATTTGGGTTTGGTTGGGATGTAGGTGTACACCCAGCCAAACACAATGTGCAAACTACACTACTCTAGGATATAGAAAATACTAAGTACAAAGTGTAAGATTGAAGACTAACACTAACACGCGGGACCAAGGACTATGTCCTCACCCTGTGAAAGAACGAGGAACGTGAAGAAAAGAGGAGTTTCACTAGCAGTAGTTTGGATACATATAGCAAACCCTAACAGGGTTGTACTCGCTATAGAGCACCCCACTACAGGCTAGATAATAACATTCTGACACACCCTTGGCGGTACTTCGCCCCCTGCTCTCCGGCTTCAGGACTCGTCCTGGGCGAACTCGCAGCCGGACCGCCGCTCCTCTCAGGGCTACGGCTTCACTCTTGGCAATGGGCTCGTCAACTCGTGCTCCACACACTCTTTTGACATCGCTCCGTCCTCCTCCGAGGCCGAGCTCTACGCTGGCACCATGGCCGCTCAGGAGTCCCGTTGGCTTTGCAATCTTCATACTGAGCTCGGCGCGCCTCAGCAATGCCCAACCCTCTGGTGTGACAATGCCAACACGATCCATCTCACGCAGAACCTTGTCTTCCACAGTCGGTCCAAGCACATCGAACTGCGCTATTTCCTCAACTGCGAGCTCGTTTAGCAGGGCCTTTTCGCGGTTCGGAAGATTGCGGCTGATGCCAACTTGACGGACAACTTCACCAAGGCCCTCCCTCGCCCTGCACACCCCGCTCTTCTACGCCTCATTGGCCTTGCCCGCCCAAGCGCCCCTTAATTAAGGGGTTGTCCACTTCTTTCCTTAGCATGATAAGGGGTTGTGTTAGAAATATGTAGTGTAGCTAGCATGCTAAGTCTTTGTGATTGTACACCAATTGTGGTGTATAGCTCGGTTGGGACTAGGGATGAGCAAAATCCCGAACGCCTGTTCGGTTCGCCTCGAACATGTTCGAGGCGAACCGAACAGGCAATTTTTTTTGCCAAAATTGTTCGGGCCGAACATGTTCGGTGTTCAGCCGAACATGTTCGACGTTCGCCCCAGTATTTTGGGTCTCCAAGCCGAACACGAACATGTTCGTGTTCGACTTGGGGGCCACGCGAACACCAAAAAGGTTCGCGTCAAAATTGGCCGCGACCAGATTTAGGCTGCGACCAGATTTAGGTCGCGGCCAATTTGTGTTTGAGCTCATTTCGTGAGCTCAAACTCAGAACTCGTTTTCGCCTTAGCGCTCCCTCACACAGCCGCCCTAGCCTCCTTGTTCTAGGTGCAAGCAAGTGCACGCTAATACTTGCAATGTACACGGACATTAGATCTATGCATAGGGTTTAACGTAGTGTAGGGTGTTTAGGGTTACTATTAAGGTTCAGCCAGCATCTCCGCAAAGGGCTCAAGTAGGGCGTATCCTACGCCGTAGGATTCGGATCGGGCATTTCAGAGACCTAACCGTGCGGGATAACGTTTAGGAACGTGCGGCACCATCCAACGCTACCGTTGCAGGAAGGGTGTTTCAGGGTTTAGGGTCGAGGGCGGAGTTATGGCTTCCAGGGCTGGTGGATCCATTCCATAGGCCGAGGTGCAGGCAGGGCTCAGGGCAGCGCACCGGGATCTCCACCACGACCTATGCAGGGGCGAGTAGGGGATGGACCGGGAGGAGCCGGCGCGATCTTCGTTGGGGGGTTGCTTACCGTACCGGCGCCGACCTCTCGTCGCTCTTTCCGTTACGACGGCCCTCGACCCCCTCCTTCGGGGCAGACGCAGACGCAACCGGAGAGCGGCAGTGAGGAGGAGGATGAGGAGGAGGATGGTGAGGGCGAGAAGGAGGAGGACACTGAGGGGAGCGGGGATGACAGCGAGGCGGCGTGGGACCCAGAGACGCATGGCGGTGGGGAGGGGGGAGATGATGATGATGAAGACCACGAGATGGATGGGTTGGAGCCAGAGGGGCGGGAGGAGGAGGTGGGAGAGGGTGGTGGAAAGGCGGCGACAGAGGCGGGATCACAGCATGTGCGTGAAGGGGGAGGGAGCGTGGGGGTTAAGGTGGGGGGGAGAAAGGCCGTGACCATTAGGGAGCCAAGGCAGAGGAAGAAGGCCAACAAGTTGAGGGAGCGGGCGTATCCCTGCACGTTCACTGGGGAGCCCTTGGGCGAGGGTGTGATCGCTCCCGAGTTCCTAGACGAGGACGGAGGGTCCGAGAGTAGTAAGGGGACTGGCAAGGGTAATAGGAAGCCGGGGTGGCAAGTAATGATGTTCGGACCGTTAGGGGCAGACGATAAGCGTCAGTGCAAGATTTGCACAGACAGGATTTCGTGGAAGCAATCCACAACAACCCCCGGCGATCGGCACTTGGCGAGCTTCCACACTGCGCACATGCATGTGTGGCATCACCGTTACCACACCCCGTCCGTTCACTTGCCAGGGGAGACGTTTCCCCGTGGGGGTTACAAGGGAGTGCCGGATGGCTACGTCTATCAGTGGCCACATGCCAAGACTTGGCCGCAGCTCGCCAAGGGGAAAGGGATGGCGACTGGTGGAGGTCATGGGTCAGGCGGGATGGAGCGGTAGATGACAACCAAACTTACCTCGGTGCAGCTACGGCAGGCGATCACGAAGCTGGTGGTCACCTGCGACCTCCCCTTCCGCATCGTCGAGGCCGAGGCTGTAAGTGCCCCATCCCATCCCATGCATTATTGGGCAAGTATGTGGTTAGTGGACGGGTCTGTCCCTTTGTGTTTTGACTGTTTGCGTGTGGCCCAGTGCAGTGCTATATTATTTTCATCCCATCCTCCTGACGTTTACTCCCCTCTCCCCCCTTGTCTCTACCCCTCTCCAGTTTCGTGAGCTACTCATCCTGCTAAACCGCAACTGCGCGCAGAAGAACTTCATCCCCTCGCGCTGGACGGTTTCCCGCGACACAGTGGTCTATGCGACTGCCGTTCTTCAGTCAGCCATTGCGGAGATGAGCAGATGGCGAGGGTGGTTGAGGAGACGATGGTGCAGTGGGGGTTGGAGACGCGTTGTCTTGGGTTCACCTCAGACAACGCCTCCAGCAACACTGCCGCTTTCAGGTGGATGTTGGAGGAGGGTGGTGGCCAGTGCTTCTTCAACTCGCGCATGCACTTCCGGTACGAAAGGGAGTGTGCGTGGGATGTGTGATGAGGGAGTCTGGGTGCGTCGTTCCTGTGAACATGTTGTGGTTGTAGTACGGGCGGGTGGGCCTATGCGGCTTGAGAGTGGTAGTGTTTCTCAGGTCTATGCCAATGTGTACTCACACTTCCCTTTCTCTCCGCCATTAATGTTTTGTGATGTGCGCAGATGCCTGGCACACGTGATCAACCTTGCAGTGAAGGCAGCACTCGCTGTGACCGCCATCCGCAAGTTGCTGAAGATTCGGAGAGAGATGGCGTCGTGGATAGGTTTCTCACCGCAGCGCTCAGGGAAGTTCTTGGGCCTTCAGCGGACCCTGAACGCGCAGGGCAGCCCCGCCAAACCGAAGCCGGCATTGAAGCTGGTGCAGGACAGTCCCACACGCTGGGGGTCGACCCACGACATGGTCGAGCGAGCTGGGGTTTTGCAGGAACCCATCTCTGTCTTCTTTGCCCAGACACAGGTGTGTGTGTGTGTGCCAGGTGTTGTGTATGCGGTTTTATGTGTTGGTATGTCGGTCGGGGTGTTTTGTTCTGGGACTTGCACCACTGTTGGCCATGCTTGACTAAACTTATCGGACCTCCAACAACCTCAACCACCCCACTTTCCACCCTAACACCCGCCCACCCATATGTTCTACCCGACAGGGCGTGTCGAAGGCTGACAAGGCGAAGATGGACACCTTGCGCCTGACGGACGCAGACTGGGAGACGCATTCTGTCAAGACCTTCCTCAGCCCATTCGCCAAAGTCTCAAAGGCCGCGGAGGGAGCGGCGTACCCTACAGTGGCGATGGTCCTGCCGTACTACAACGGCCTGATCGACGCTATGGAGTCGCGCCTTGCCAAGGGGCCATCTGCTACGCTGAAGCCGATGATTGAGGCGGCGCTGGGTCTCTTGAAGAAGTATGAACTGATGTCAAGCAACGAGTTGTGGATCGCGACCTTCCTGGACCCTTCCATGAAGGCGACGTGGTTCGACGACGCGCACTGGGAGACGCTGCATCCCGATACCGACCGGAGGGCGAGGCCTCGTCCCTCGTCAGGCGAGGTGATCCAGCTGGTTCGCGAACGCGTGGCCGAGTACCAGGCCCAGGCTGCAGCGACTGCCCCTCCGCCGACCTTACTTGCCCCAGTGACGGAGGAGGGAGACGCGGCGGATGACGACGAAGACGCCGAGTTTCTCCCTAGTCGCCGACGCCTTGCGGCGCGTCTGTCGGCGAGCCAGGAGGCGGGGAGGGGTGGGATGGTGCAGGATGACGAGGTTGGCAGGTACTTATCTGAGAGGGTGCGGTGCGACGTGTCAGCGTTGGAGTATTGGCGCAGCGCCACCAACATGCAGACGCTGAGGCGCATGGCCCGGGATTATCTTGCCATCCCTGCCACGTCCGCGTCGAGCGAGCGCGTGTTCTCTCTCGGCCGCAACCTCATTTCTTGGAAGCGGCACCGCCTAGCCTCTCAGAGGACACGAGCTTCCATGATTCTCAGATCATGGTACACCTCACACCCTGGACAGAGGATAGGCGAGGGCCGCCGTGCAAAAGTCGAGGCACCACCAGAGTTCGCCATTGAAGGCGAGGGGGAGGAGGAGGACGACGAGTGGGAGGAGGAGGAGGGGGAGGAGGAGCAGGAGGGGGTGGGTGCTGGCGACACCTCTGACGCGGAGCTTGCTGTTGTTGGTAGTAGCAGTGGTGTGCAGGCGTAGGATTTAATTTGACAGTGATTTTTATATAGGCAAAACATGATGGTGTGGTATGCTAGTGTGCGTTGCATGAACACATATACACCCTCCACCCCCCTATCTATCTTCCCAACCCTCCAGATTCCCTGTTTGACCAATGTGACTATAACGAAATTGCCCACGGGCGAACTTGAACATGTTCGGTTCGAACATGTTCGAGTTCGCCCACATATACCAAATGTTCACCCCCATGGGCGAACGGCGAACACCTCCTGCTAGCCAAATTGTTCGCCGAACCGAACCTTGTCCGGTTCGGGAAATGGTGATGTTCGAGCGAACTCGAACCCGAACGTGTTCGAGTTCGCCCTTTGCTCATCCCTAGTTGGGACTACACCTAACTTTGGGTGTAGACTTGCATTTGGGGTGCCAATCCAACCCAATTGTGGTGGAGGCCCCCATTGAAACCAATTTGGTTGTTGCTTGGCAACACTTCCCCAAGACACGCCAACCCAACCCAATTGGCCTTTGCTTGGCAACACTTTCTCAAGTGATGCCAACTCAGCCCATTTGGTCATTGATTAGCTCAATTCCTCAAGTGTTGCCTCCCTTCCCCCCTTCTCTTCCAACCCTATGTATGCTTGCTTTTCACACACCCAACCCATCCAACCCATGATCATCCGGCCCTCACCTGCGACACGGTCTCGTACATGTCCATGAGCATGCCTAATCATGTTCTAACATGTGGTGGCATCAAACCCTCTCACCTGTGGCATGAAATCCCGCACGGTCTCGTACATGTCCGTCAGCACCGACCCTTTCTCGAGGGACTCCTAACCTGTCCCTCATGCATAACACATGCCTAACATGTGGCATCAGACTCCCTTACATGAGGCATCAGATTGCGCATGGTCTCGTACATGTCCATGAGCACCGACACCTTCTCGGGGGACTTCTTGCTGCGCGCCACGGCCTCCCCGAAGCCAAACAGCATGTCGACACTCACCCCACCCACCCCATGGTAATCCGGGCTCATATGTGGCATGAAAGCAAGACTCTCACCTGAGGCATCAAGTCGCGCATGGTCTCGTACATGTCCATGAGCACCGACACCTTGCACTCACTCACTGCCCCCGTCCCCATCGCCAGCACTCCATAGCCCAGCGCTCACCTGTGGCATCAAGTCGCGCATGGTCTCGTACATATCCATCAGCACCGACACCTTCTCGAGGGACTTCTTGCTGCGCGCTACCGCCTTTGCAAACCCAAACCAGCCACCACTCACTTTCCTTACCACATATACATACATACGCCCCTCACCTGCGGCATCAGATCGCGCATGGTCTCGTACATGTCCATGAGCACCGACACCTTCTCGGGGGACTTCTTGCTGCGCGCCACGGCCTCCCCGAAGCCAAACAGCATGCCCAGCGTGAGCCCCGCCAGGTCCGCAAACGCCTTCCCCGTGTGCGGCTCCAACCCTGCCAGCACTGTTTCGCACAGCTCTCGCTCTGCCATGAACACCACGTGCACCTGGGAAGGATGAGGAGCAGTGGGATACAGGGAACGACTGGGTGGGTTGAGAGGGGTGCATTGATGATGAATGGAACACCACAGCTCGCGCTCTGCCATGAACACCACGTGCACCTGGGGGTGAAGGGAGGAAGAGAGATGGGTGGGGTGTCAGGGGTCCGGAAGTATGCTGTGGCTTGGCGATGATCTGCACAGCTCCTCCGGCTCTGCTTTGAATACAAAATGCACACGGAGGAATGAACACCACATAAACCTCTCCACTCCTAGTGAAATCTGCAACGCGCCACCGAAGCCAGCCTGCTCTGACTCACCGCCAGCCTGCTCTGATTTTTCCAAGGAGTATTTTCAAGTCGGTTATGTTTGAGCCAAACATTTCCAGTGGACTCATCAGTTTTCTCTGACTCACCGCCAGCCTGGTCTCCCGTCTGTCGCCACCCCTCAATGCGCTTCTCCAGCTCCTCCCACGTCATGGCGTCCATCTGCTCGCGCGTGAGCAGAGCTGACGTATGATGGGTCGACTGAATCCATTATTGTTTTATCCGCTACATTTGAGTCGAATATACTCACCGCCAGCCGGGTCTGCCTGCGCCACCCCTCGATACGCTTCTCCAGCTCCCCCCACGACATGCCGTCCATCTGCTCGCGCGTGAGCTTCTCCACGGCAATGCGCTTCAACCCCGCTTCCACCATCGTGCCTCGCACCTCGCTGATTAGGTGAAGGTGAGTTGTGTGTGAATGGGAAAGTATGAGGGAGAGAGAGGAGAGTGTGAGGAAGAATGAGCTTCTCTTCTCCACGGCAATGCGCTTCAACCCCGCTTCCACCATCGTGCCTCGCACCTCGCTGATTAGGTGAAGGTGAGTTGTGTGTGAATGGGAAAGTATGAGGGGGAGAGAGGAGAGTGTGAGGAAGAATGAGCTTCTCTTTTCCACGGCAATGCGCTTCTGCCCCGCTTCCACCATCGTGCCGCGCACCTCGCTGATTAGGTGAAGGTGAGTTGTGTGTGAATGGGAAAGTATGAGGGAGAGAGAGGAGAGTGTGAGGAAGAATGAGCTTCTCTTCTCCACGGCAATGTGCTTCTGCCCCGCTTCCACCATCGTGCCTCGCACCTCGCTGATTAGGTGAAGGTGAGTTGTGTGTGAATGGGAAAGTATGAGGGAGAGAGAGGAGTCTGTGCGGAAGAATGAGCTTCTCTTCTCCACGGCAATGCGCTTCAGCCCCGCCTCCACCATCGTGCCCGCCTATGCGGAGGAGCGCTGCTGAACGGCGTCGGATGCGCGCGGGCAATCAAGCAACACTACATCCAAGCAATCATGCACTCACGTGTAGATCTTGAGGCAGTTATCAGCTCGACCAATCCGGATGAGCGCCTCTGCCAGTTGGCGGATGCGCTCACCCGCCTTGCCATCCGCCAGCAGCACCGGCAGCCCGCCGCCCTCCTTCTCGCCCTCCCCACCACCCTCCTCCTCGCCCTGCTTGCTCGCGTCCAGCAGCTTTGCCGGGTCCGCATCTTTACTGGAGTGGGGCAGAAGGGGGGAGTGGGGCGGAAGGGGGGTGCGGGGAAGGAGGGGAAGAGGGAGTGGGGACAAGAGGGGAGGGGGAAAGAGGGGGGAAGGAGGAGAGGGGAGGAAGGGGGGAGGTGGATTACTTGGGGTGATGGAGGATCCCTCCCCAAGTAACCGCCAGCTGGCGGATCTCCCCCCGCCTCTCACGCACGTGATTTGCAGCAGGTGCTGCCGGAGCGCATCCTAGGACCTCCAGGCGGTGGTGGGCCACTTTTGAGATGCGCATCCTCCTCCTGAGGGAGGCCCACCACCGCTTCTCAAAAGTCCTCCAGGCGGTGGTGGACCTCCCTCAGCAGCGCTCTCTGCCTCTTCCTTTCCCCGGTTTCATCCTCTCCCTCCCTCTACCCCCTCCCCCCCCCCCCCCCCCCCCCGGGCCCCCCCACTCACGTGAAATGCAGCAGCTGCTGCTGGAGGGCATCGTCCAGGCAGTGATGGCCCTCCCGCAGCAGCGCCTTGGAGTGAGCCAGAACCCCCTCCGCGCTTCCTCCCCCTAGCCCCACCTCCTCTCCCCCTCACTCACGTATACTGCAACAATTGCTGCCGGAGCGCATCCTCTAGTCGGTGGTGGCCCTCCCTCAGCAGCGCCTTGGAGTGGGCCAGAGCCGCCTCCGCGCTCTTGAACGACCGGTTCGCCTCAAAGTACGCCACGCCCTCGTGCAAGCGGGCTATGGCCGCCAAGTAGGGGTCCAGAGCGTTCTTGGGACCCTCCTTGATGCGCTCCTCCACCTGCCAGCCAAGAATGGGAATGGGAGTTTGCCGGTTTGCCTCGAAATACGCCACGCCCTCGTGCAGCCGGGCTATCGCTGCTAGGTAGGGGTCCAGGGCGTTTTTGGGACCCTCTTTAATGCGCTCCTCCACCTGCCAGCGCAAAGTGAGAGGAACAAGGGGGCAAAGGGCTTATGATGATTGATTGCACACCGCGCTGCTGAGCTGAAGGCTCCAAGCGCGCCACGCCACGCCCTCAGCAGCAGCAGCGCCTTGGAGTGAGCCAGAGCCGCCTCTGCGCTCTTGAACGACCGGTTGGCCTCAAAGTACGCCACTCCCTCGTGCAGCCGGGCTATCGCTGCTAGGTAGGGGTCCAGGGCGTTCTTAGGGCCCTCCTTGATGCGCTCTTCCACCTGCCAGCATGAGAGCGCGGGGAGATTGGGGGAGACGGGAACGTAGTGTGATGTGAGGGTATACGTGGAGCCTCAAAATACGCCACGCCCTCTGTAAGTACGGGTCCAGGGCGTTCTTGGGACCCTCCTTGATGCGCTCCTCCACCTGCCATGTGGGGGAAACGAGAGGGGAAATGGGAGAAGGGAATACGGAGACCAGCTGCTGCAGATTTTGCCTGAAAGTACGCCACGCCCTCATGCAGTGCAGCCGCGCTATGGCTGCCAGGTATGGCGCTATGGATCCAGTGCAGCCGCACTCTTGGGTTGGGGCCTCCTTGATGCGCTCGTCCACCTGCCAGCAAAGAGTGCGGATGGGATGGGAGTATAAAGTCGGCTCACAAAACGAGCGGTTTGCCTCAAAGTACCCAAGCCATCGTGCGGACGCACTGTGGAGGCCGTACCCTGTGGAGGCTGTACCCTGTGGAGGCCGTGCCCTGTGGAGGCTGTACCCTGTGGAGGCCGTACCCTGTGGAGGCTGTACCCTGTGGAGGCTGTACCCTGTGGAGGCTGTACCCTGCAAAGTTAGTGTGGTTGTACTCACCACGTTGAGTGCACACTTGTCATTGTATTGTATGTCAATCGCGACCTTGACGAATGAGAACCTTTTGGGGCTGGCATAGTTTGCGGTTACCGCAATCACTCCAATCCAATGGTCATCAATGGCGGTGTGTCATCCCCGTACCCACACATTCCTGGTAGCCTAACTCCAACCAACCTTTGCAACTTTATTCTTTCACCCTCCCTCAGTACTCTCCTCCTGCTATCCTCCTATCCATCCTTCATTCCTAGGTCATTTTAAACCCGCCTTGCTACGTCATCTCACCTGCCTCGCCACGTCATCTCACCTGCCTCGCCACGTCATCTCACCTGCCTCGCCATGTCAGCTCACCTGCCTCGCCACGTCATACTTCTCCAGCACCACCTCAGCAGCCTTGAGCGCCTTGTCCACGTTGACGTGCGCCTTGCGGATGGCGTAGGTGCGCTCCTGTCATGTGAGTGGGGGGAAGGAAGGGGAGGAGAGGGAAGGGGAAAGGTCGTCAGGCCGTATTCATCTGGACATGCGCCCTGCGGATGGTGTAGGTACGCTCCTGCCAGGTCAGGCCACAGGAGGGAAGGGGTAGAGGGAGAGGGAAAGGTCAGTCAGGGCATATTCACATAAGCGTGGGCCTTGCGGATGGCATAGGTGCGCTCCTGCTGGGTTAGGCGGAGTTGGGAATGGGGGAGGGAGAGGGAGGTTGAAACGGGGCAAGGAAGAAAGGAAGGTAGGCCGGCCCAGTCCGGGCGTATTCATGTGCGCGAGTGCCTTGTCGATGATGTAGGTGCACTCCTGCCAGGTCAGGCCGAGTTGGAAATAAGGAAGGGAGAGGGAAATGAAATGGGAAAAGGGAGAGGGAATATTTGTGTGAGCGTGCGCCTTGCGGATGGCATAGGTGCGCTCCTGCCAAGTCAGCATGCACGCGGTGAGAGTGGGAACGGCATATGAGATGCCGTATTTCATGCGGGCATGTGCCTTGCTGCAGATGGCATGGGTGTGGTGTGGTGCTGCCAGGACAGGCCGCGGTGGGAGGGCATAGGCGGGCATATGACAGGCCATATCTCATGCAGCCAAGCATCTTCCTTCAGATGGCGCAGGTCAGGCCGCGGTGGGATGGGAGGGCATAGGTGGGCATATAAGAGGCCATGATTCTTGTGGGCATGCGCCTTGTTGCATATGGCGTGTGGTGTGGTGTGGTGTAATGTGGTGCTGCCAGGTCAGGTCGCGGTGGGAGGGCATAGGCGGGCATAAGAGAGGCCATGATTCTTGCGGGCATGCGCCGTGCTGCAGATGGCGTAGGTCAGGCCGCGGTGGGAGGGGGAATGGAGGCAAGGGCAGTCATGAGCATGCACGCGCGACGAGAGTGGGGAAAGGAGAACGGGGGGAGGGAAGAGAGTGGGGAAGACGAGTGAAGTAAGGAGAGTGGGGAAGGAGAGAGGGTAAGAAGAGTGGGGTAAGGAGAGTGGGGGGAAGAGAGTGGGGGAGGAGTGTGGGGGAGGTGGAAGAGGGAGGGAGAAGGACGTGGGACGAGGGAGACCATATGGGGAGGGAATCTTGCGGAGATCAAAGGGGAGGCGGAGCGGCGCAGTAAGTCGCACGAAGCGCAGCTTCATTCACGTGCCGCGCGATATGGGGAGGGACGGGCGCGCCGCGGACCGCGCTCTCGACCAATCGGACGCGAGGAACGGCCACGACGGAGCGGCTTCAGCCACGGTCTCCGCGAAAGGAGAGGACGGAGGCCCTATTCTTAACCGCTCGTGTCGCCGCCTTCATTTCGCTCGTCGACGTTCGTTGACTCGCTTCCTTTTGTCGCAATACTAGGTCAATGCGTCGCACATGTCGCATGCCTCACCTGGGTCGGTCGCATAGCCGTGTCTAAGGCCGAGAGCCGCTGGTCGAACGACCCTAGGATGTCCGCCAGGCGATCATTGTTGCTCTGCGACTGCGCCAACGCGTCGCGCAAAGCCTGCGCGTGCGACGCTAAGTCGCACGCCACTTCCGCGACCATGGCGTCGTTTGCGACGTCTTAAATGACGACGTCACTTCTCCGTCTTCTTCGCTAATCTTCCTACAATTCAAGTCGTAAACGAACTTACGCTCTGTTCTATCCCCGGAAGCTGCTAGACGAAATCTAGACTCTTACAGTGTACTTTTATTCCTGCCTCTTTTCGCGGTCTCAATTTTGACGTGACTGAACCGCAACGTTAGGAAGTTTGGCTCGGGTGCGAGCGTGACCCGAGGCTGTTCTGACTTGCGTGCACGTCAGGTTCTGGTATGGTTACGTGACCGAAAGCGGTGTTACCTTGTTCCGTCGGTCGATCAGTCTGTCGGACCAGAGGAATCGATTTGGCGGGGACCCCTCGCGTTTCTACAGTTCTGCGACATGGAGCCGCACTTCGCCCCGTTTTGCCGCGAAACCAATTTCTTACGCGATTTTTTTCTCGTCACCTAGCACCCGCGAACCAGCATCGTGCCCTGGCTCAGGGTTACTTTCACGAAATCATATGTGCAGTATTTGTACTTTCTATACCCGCCAAGCCGGCCAGTCTCTTGGTTTTCTCGCACGCCAACCCTGAAATACGCTGAGTATTTCAATGTCGTCGTACAGTGTCTGGGATGAATTGCGCCCATAGCGTTTAGGAATATTAGGCGTAGGAAATCTAAAATTCAGTAATTGTTGATTCTTGCGACGCCGCAAACGTGGCCGACGCGGCCCCGTGCGACACATTGGCGCAGTCGTAGAGCAGCAATGATCGCCTAGGATCGTTCGACCAGCGGCTCGCGGCAATGCGACCGTCCCAGGTAAGGCGTGCGACATTGACGATCCAATGCACAGTGATGCGACGCGAGCAATTGGAAGGGCCGCCTCAGTCACCTTGGTCGGCTCGGAAGGAGCATTGCACGCCTCGGAAGCAGCATTGCAAGGCTATGGTCTTGATTTCACGCAGAGCAGCATAGCGAGCCAAAGCAGTAGCAGAGCAGAGAAACCGAGCCGAGCCGCCGAGCCGAGCCACGCCGCGTCGCCTGCCGTGTCCGAGCCGAACCGAACCGAGCCGAGCCGCACCGAGCGGAGCCGACCCGCGCCGAGTCGAGCCGAGCCGAGCCGAGCCGAGTGCCCAGCTAGACCACTAATTCAAAACCGGGAGTTCATAGGCGCAACGGCGGTAGCCTTTCAACCCTACTTTTAGACCCGCAGGCGTCCAGGCCTGTTGTGTGGCATCCCGTGTGATAAAACAATTTTTGTGTCGCCTCGTCATACGAGGCGCAGCGACGATAGCCATTCACATGAATGTTGTGGCGCCTCTCCCCGTGCACTCCACCTCCCTCTCTCCCACTTCCCCCCCACCTCCCTCTCTACCCTTTCCCCCCACCTCCCTCTCTCCCCTTTCCCCCCACCTCCCTCTCTCCCCTTTCCCCCCACCTCCCTCTCTCCCCTTTCCCCCCACCTCCCTCTCTCCCCGTCCACCTCACGTCCCTCTCTCCCCTTGCTGCACCTCGGGCTGCTTATGTGCTTGATTGCATGATCATGCAATCCCCACCGCCATCTCTCCGTCTCCCAACTGTGTTGCGGCCTGACCCGGCAGGAACACACCTATGCCATTCCACAAGGCACACGCTCACTATAATCAGTGGCCTGATTATGACCTCTCCCTTCCCTCTTTTTCTCCCTTTCGCTCTCCCTTTCCCCATCGTTCTCCATTTTGTTCTCCCTTTCCCTTTCGCTCTTCCTTTCCCTTTTGGTCTCCCTTTCTCCCTCGAATTTCCTTCACCCGTCGTTCTTCCCATCCCCCTCACTGTCTTTTTCCCCCACTCCCACCACTGCATGACCTGCCAGGAGCGTACCTACCCCATCCACAAGCCACACACGCGCACATGAGAATGCGCTCACTGATCTTTCCACACCCTCTCCCTCCCTCTCTCCCACCTCTGTATGACCTGCCAGGAGCGTACCTACATCACAAAAATCAAGTGGCGGAAAACCTCTCATGAAGTGTGTTTGTTGTGTTTTTGCAGATGATTTGAAGATGTAGGGGTTGGTACTTTTTTAGAAGAAAGTATCGAACTTTTTCCAGATGATATGTCAGATGCTTTGCCAATGATCGGTGTGTTTTTTAACAGTTTGGAAATGGTTGTGAGGAACTTCTCATTGTGTTTGGGATAACTTGTTTAAATCATACTATGTGCTTCAATTTTGGACTTGGATAAGGTTTGCAATTTATTTTTATATCCATATAATAATCTTGGAAAGGGTTTATGGGGTATTATAAATAAACATAATCAGAGTTTGAAAAACCCAGTTGGTAGTTTCTTTAGCACTTTCCATAAATACACCGTAAGAGGGAAGGCATGTACGTGTAAATCATAATATTAGCTTGAAAAGGTTTACAACACACTAGATGCCTACTTATTCTCTGGTTCTTAGCTACTCTACTAATCATCCTTGGTTAATGACACCTGCGCTACTACTACCCACTATCAACCCTAGGTCCATACTCTGCTTGGGTCTTCCTTCTATGCTACTCCCCGCTGCATCCTCCCTTCTGTGCTATTATTTCTTAACCCCGCCCCCTTGATGTCAATCCTTGCTTCGCCCTCATGTTGTTACTACTGTGCTCCCCTCCCTGCTGTTACTCCTGCGCACCTCTCCTTGCTGATACTCCTCTCCTCCCTTCCTCCCTTCCCTGCTGTGGTTCCCCTGCTCCCCTCCCTGCTGTGACTCCTCTCCTCCCTTCCCTGCTGTGGTTACCCTGCTCCCCTCTCTGCTGTGGTTCCTCTCCTCCCTTCCCTGCTATGGTTCCTCTGCTCCCCTCCCTGCTGTGGTTCCTCTCCTCCCTTCCCTGCTGTGGTTCCCATGCTCCCCTCCCTGCTATGGTTCCTCTCCTACCTTCCCTGCTGTGGTTCCTCTGCTCCTCTCCCTACTGTGGTTCTTCTCCTCCCCTCCCTGCTGTGGTTCCCCTGCTCCCCTCCCTGCTGTGACTCCTCTCCTCCCTTCCCTGTTGTGGTTCACCTGCTCCCTTCCCTGCTGTGGTTCCTCTCCTCCCTTCCCTGCTGTGGTTCCCCTGCTCCTCTCCCTGCTGTGGTTCCTCTCCTCCCCTCCCTGCTGTGGTTCCTCTCCTCCCCTCCATGCTGTGGTTCCTCTCCTCCCTTCCCTGCTGTGGTTCCCACGCTCCCCTCCCTGCTATGGTTCCTCTCCTCCCTTCCCTGCTGTGGTTCCCCTGCTCCTCTCCCTGCTGTGGTTCCTCTCCTCCCCTCCCTTCTGTGGTTCCTCTCCTCCCCTCCATGCTGTGGTTCCTCTCCTCCCTTCCCTGCTGTGGTTCCCACGCTCCCCTCCCTGCTATGGTTCCTCTCCTCCCTTCCCTGCTGTGGTTCCCCTGCTCCTCTCCCTGCTGTGGTTCCTCTCCTCCCCTCCCTGCTGTGGTTCCTCTCCTCCCCTCCATGCTGTGGTTCCTCTCCTCCCTTCCCTGCTGTGGTTCCCACGCTCCCCTCCCTGCTATGGTTCCTCTCCTCCCTTCCCAACTGTGGTTCACCTGCTCCCTTCCCTGCTGTGGTTCCTCTCCTCCCTTCCCTGCTGTGGTTCCCCTGCTCCTCTCCCTGCTGTGGTTCCTCTCCTCCCCTCCCTGCTGTGGTTCCTCTCCTCCCCTCCATGCTGTGGTTCCTCTCCTCCCTTCCCTGCTGTGGTTCCCACGCTCCCCTCCCTGCTATGGTTCCTCTCCTCCCTTCCCTGCTGTGGTTCCCCTGCTCCTCTCCCTGCTGTGGTTCCTCTCCTCCCCTCCCTGCTGTGGTTCCTCTCCTCCCCTCCATGCTGTGGTTCCTCTCCTCCCTTCCCTGCTGTGGTTCCCACGCTCCCCTCCCTGCTATGGTTCCTCTCCTCCCTTCCCTGCTGTGGTTCCCCTGCTCCTCTCCTTGCTGTGGTTCCTCTCCTCCCCTCCCTGCTATGGTTCCCCTGCTCCCCTCCCTTCCCTGCTGTGGTTCACCTGCTCCATTCCCTGCTGTGGTTCCTCTCCTCCCCTCCCTGCTGTGGTTCCCCTGCTCCCCTCCCTGCTGTCACTCCTCTCCTCCCTTCCCTGCTGTGGTTCACCTGCTCCCTTCCCTGCTGTGGTTCCTCTCCTCCCTTCCCTGCTGTGGTTCCCCTGCTCCTCTCCCTGCTGTGGTTCCTCTCCTCCCCTCCCTGCTGTGGTTCCTCTCCTCCCCTCCATGATGTGGTTCCTCTCCTCCCTTCCCTGCTGTGGTTCCCACGCTCCCCTCCCTGCTATGGTTCCTCTCCTCCCTTCCCTGCTGTGGTTCCCCTGCTCCTCTCCCTGCTGTGGTTCCTCTCCTCCCCTCCCTGCTATGGTTCCCCTGCTCCCCTCCCTTCCCTGCTGTGGTTCACCTGCTCCCTTCCCTGCTGTGGTTCCTCTCCTCCCCTCCCTGCTGTGGTTCCCCTGCTCCCCTCCCTGCTGTGACTCCTCACCTCTCTTCCCTGCTGTGGTTCCCCTGCTCCCTTCCCTGCTGTGGTTCCTCTCCTCCCTTCCCTGCTGTGATTCTCCTGCTCCTCTCCCTGCTGTGGTTCCTCTCCTCCCCTCCCTGGTGTGGTTCCCGTGCTCCTCTCCCTGCTGTGGTTTCTCTCCTCCCCTCCCTGCTGTGGTTCCCCTGTCCCCACATCTGCTCTTACTCCAAGCTCGGAGCACTGCAATTCCACCATTCATCTCCTCTAGACATGCACTGACGCCACCCTCCTTGTCGGATTGCGGGGTTGTGGTCTTGGCCTATACTCCTCAAACCCCGACTCATGGACGAACAAGCCAAAATTCCCCCACCTAAACCCCTTCATCCGTGGGTCGTAGACAGGGTTCATCTGGCTGAAATGATCCGTCACCGTCCGCTTCACTGCCCTGCGGATGCTTTCCACCCACCGCGTGTTCTTTCGGTGGGAGTTTGTGAGGTTCATTGTCGACTTCTTGACCTTCGACAAGCCGTAGTCTATCTGCATTGTCAAGATAGGGGAGCATGGACAGATTCAAGCGTGATAAGTGTGAGAGGTCGGAATCATGTGGGGCAAGCACAACATGCAGTGAAGTACGCCATGGTGGTAGAGTGTGAGCATGAAAGGTGATAGAGGAGTGGGGCAGCCTCTGAAAGGAAGAGGAAACCAAAGAGTGTTCGGAAACACGGGAGGGGAAGGATACTGCTGGGTACTGCATGGACGTGAGGGGATTGGTGAAAAATATAAACAACGTAAGCCCGTGAGTGAAAGCGTGAACCCAGAGTGGGCGCAACTCCAGAGGGCAGGTGGATACCAAGGGTTCAAGAAGCACCTGAGAGGGAGGTGGAAACACGGGGGTTTAAGGTTTACACGGGATGGCACGGGTTTACCAAGGAGAAAAGTGTGGGATGAGAAACAAGTAAAAGGACCCTCACAAGCCACTCACCACCAAGATAGTCCAAGCAATATGATACGCCTTCAAGCATATGTCGTTCCCCACGGCAAATTCACCGAAGGCGTCCATTGCTGCGTTGAAGAAGATCTCGTTGCCGAACGGGAGATCAGTAACCTCAGCATTTCCCCATGTGCTCAGTTGGGCGTCCGCACCTGCAACACACTCGAACGAAGGTGGTTCAAGGGGTGGGGTGTGAAAAGGGAAGAGGGTGGATGGGCTGGCGAATCACAGGTTTCTACAACGGTCTATGTAAAGGAAATGCCAAGCTATGGAGTACAGAATATGGGGTGTTGCAAGAAACGGGTGCTAGGGCTGAGATGGTGAAACAAGGGGGAGGGGGGGAGGGTGGGGGAAAAGGTCAGGCAGGTGTTTACTCACTCGGGCCATACTCCCCCCAGAGATCCTCCTTGAGCTCAGTGTCGATGTGGATTTCCGCTGCCCGCAAGCCACTCATAGGAACCCCCAACCCCGCGAGCACGGTCCGTTTGATGTAAAACCCGCGCTCGTTCTTCCACTGCGTATACACGCGCTTGAATGCATCCCTCCGTGTTTTATCCGCCATGGCCTCCTTCAGCAATATCAATGGAACCACATAATGCTCAGAAATGACTTCATGTAAAACAAGAATCCGCTTCTCAAAGCTTGGGTAGAACGTGACAAGATGGTCCTCAGCTTCCATACACATGCGCTTCCTTGCTTCTTCCATGTACAGCTGTTTAAAATGAGAATGTAGGGTAAACCAAAGAATGGGAATGTGGGGTATTGGGAATGAGTATATGTCACTGCTGAGAATGAGACCAGAGGGTGGGATGAGAATGAATCACTGCAGAGAAGGAAACCAGAGAGTGGGAATGTGAATGAGTCACTGCAGGTAATGAGACCAGATGGTGGGATGAGAATGAATCACTGCAGCGAAGGAAACCAGAGTGTGAATGTGAATGAGTCACTGCAGAGAATGAGACCAGAGGGTGGGATGAGAATGAATCTCTGCAGAGAAGGAAACCAGAGAGTGGGAATGTGAATGAGTCACAGCAGAGAATGAGACCAGAGGGTGGGATGAGAATGAATCAGTGCATAGAAGGAAACCAGAGAGTGGGAATGTGAATGAGTCGCTGCAGAGAATGAGACCAGAGGGTGGGATGAGAATGAATCACTGCAGAGAAGGAAACCATAGAGTGGGAATGTGAATGAGTCACAGCAGAGAATGGGACCAGAGGGTGGGAATGAGAATGAATCAGTGCATAGAAGGAAACCAGAGAGTGGGAATGTGAATGAGTCACTGCAGAGAATGAGCCTTGAGGGTGGGATGAGAATGAATCAGTGCATAGAAGGAAACCAGAGAGTGGGAATGTGAATGAGTCGCTGCAGAGAATGAGACCAGAGGGTGGGATGAGAATGAATCACTGCAGAGAAGGAAACCAGAGAGTGGGAATGTGAATGAGTCACTGCAGAGAATGGGACCAGAGGGTGGGAATGAGAATGAATCAGTGCATAGAAGGAAACCAGAGAGTGGGAATGTGAATGAGTCACTGCAGAGAATGAGCCTTGAGGGTGGGATGAGAATGAATCACTGCAGAGAAGGAAACCAGAGAGTGGGAGTCACTGCAGAGAATGAGACCAGAGGGTGGGATGAGAATGAATCACTGCAGAGAAGGAAAGCAGAGAGTGGGAGTCACTGCAGAGAATGAGACCAGAGGGTGGGATGAGAATGAATCACTGCAGAGAAGGAAACCAGAGAGTGGGAGTCACTGCAGAGAATGAGACCGGAGGGTGGGATGAGAATGAATCACTGCAGAGAAGGAAACCAGAGAGTGGGAGTCACTGCAGAGAATGAGACCAGAGGGTGGGATGAGAATGAATCACTGCAGAGAAGGAAACCAGAGAGTGGGAGTCACTGCAGAGAATGAGACCAGAGGGTGGGATGAGAATGAATCACTGCAGAGAAGGAAACCAGAGAGTGGGAATGTGAATGAGTCACTGCAGAGAATGAGACCAGAGGGTGGGATGAGAATGAATCACTGCAGAGAAGGAAAACAGAGAGTGGGAATGTGACCAGAGAGTGGGAAAAACTAGACAACTGGAGAAAGAGAATGAAAATGCACCATTGGTCAAACAAAACCGTATAATGAGCAAGCCAGCGAGTCAGGTGTGGCAATCGGTAGGAGAAATTGGTGGCACTTACCTTCAAATTAGTCGCGTTTGGCATCCCATGCCTCCTGGTGATGGGAGTGCCTTGTACAGCACTCTCCACCACAGCGCCCGGCGTTTCAGGCGGCTCAGGTTGTTCACTGGATATCGAGGTAAGTGGCGGGATTTGCGTCCCACTTCCCCCCCGGTCCACCGAAGGTCCACGACCGGCCTTTAGCTCGGCAATCTGCCGATTAGCTTCCTGCAATGCCTGGAAGAGTTGCTGCATGGATTCATTAGGAGAATTGCTCGAGGTAATGATGGGCACTCCGCTAGCGTCGAGCGGGGAATTGCCTCTTGCCGATGCGAACGGGGGTGGAGTTGCTGGGTCAGAGCGTCCAACTTTCCTGCCATCATTGAACCAATCTCCAACACCACCCGCCTCACCATCTTCCGCCCCCAGCCCCCCACCACAGGCCGGATCGTCACTACCACCGGCTGGATTGTGCGTGTTGTCATGCTGCTGGCCAGCGTTGTCACGCACACTCGAATCTTGAAATCTAGATGCTCTCTTTCCCAATCCTGAGGTGGAAGCAAGGGCAGCATACGGATCGCTGGTTGCTGCCCGTTTCATCCGAACGTTCTCCTGACGATTCGACGGACCAGCATCATCCGATTTCACCATGGTCCTCATCTCATTGTAGAAGCCAACGTCCTGTCTCACAACAGGACGCTCCTTACAACGCCGCCGGGCGTAACCCTCAGTATCTGCTCGCTTTCCTTGAGCACACTCTCTACGTCTCTGCCGTTTACGTCCACTACCAGCCTTACCACCGGTTGCATGACCACGCTTTCCGCTATAGCGGTGGTTGCGCGCTCCTCGCGCCCTCCCCCCTCTCCTACCGTCGTCATCACTCCCGGACCCAGTTTCAAGGTCATCACTCTCGTCCTCTTCCTCATCATACTTCTCCTCGCTCCCGGATGAACTCCCTGATTCCTCCTCAGAACTATCTTCTCCATCAGAAGATTTGACCTCAGCAGCGGCCTTCTTTCCAGCCTTTCTGGACCGTGCCTTCACCCTCCCTGACACCCCCCTCTGATCTTCTAGCTCAGCGCCGCGGCTCTCCCTCCCACCCTCCTCATGCCCTCGAACATTGTGTGCATCTGCCGCACGAACACCTGCTGGAGTAGAGGGAGAAGACGCATCATGCTTCATATCACGCTCTCCCTCACGCTTCACCCCACGCTCCCCCACACGCTTCACATCATGGTCTCCCTCACGCTTCACATCACGCTCTCCCTCACGCTCTCCCTCTCGCTCTCCCTCACGCTTCACATCACGCTCTCCCTCACGCTCTCCCTCACGCTCAGCCTCACGCTCTCCCTCCCGCCTGCCCTCACGCCTGCCTTCACGCCTGCCCTCAAGCCCTCCCTCACGCCTGCCCTCACGCTCTCCATCACGCTCATCCCCACGCTTATGCCCTTTCTCTGGCAGTTGCTCCTTGTCATCTACATCTTGCACGATTCCTGTTGCACCAGCCGCGTCTTGTCTTTCTTTCTTATTTTTATTGGCTCCAGCGAGGGTACCTACAACACGCATGAAGTAAGGACGATACGCTCAGTTAATAGGAGGGCAGCACCTCTCTGGATTGGGTGTGAACACATCCAAATTATTAACGAGCAACTTTAAGACATGCAAACTTGAAGAAGCTGGATAAAAGCTCATTGCGTACCTTTCCTCCCCGTAGCAGGTTTGCACTGGTCCAACGGCTTCAGCTTTCGACCGTTCCTCCACCCGCGTGAACCGCCGCGTCTAACCTTGCCATCGTAGGCCTCTTCTTCAGATTGCTCACTATCTGATGAAGATGCCCCTTCCGATTCCACCTTGGCATCGCGTGCAGGAAGTGTGTTCTTCCGACGATACCGCACAACTAGCTGGGAGGTATCGTGAGGCGTCATCTTGTCGTGCAGCTGCTGTTCCGCGTCGGTTTTCGCGTCGCCCGAGGGATGTAAAGCTCCAGCGCTACCGAGGAGCACACTAGCATTGGCCTGTTCAGAAACGATGATGTCTGCCATCTCTCTATCAATTCCGCTAAACAAGCCCAATTAACGGTTACAAAATTCTGCTGTGCATCCCTAAGTATCAAGTTTTCCATAAATACGTGTTAGAGACGCAAGGAACAGCGGCGCGCGAGCTGGACGTGCCTGCCAGAACAACAGCGCGCAATCGCACTACGTGCCCGCGAAACTCGCCAACGGCCGCGAAACGCGCCCTTGCTGGACGCGCCGTCAGATAACATCACCGCCTTCCCAGAGCAAGACGAGCCTACTACGAGAGCCAATCGCAACGCCAAAGCAGGACGTGCTTCCTACGAGAGCCACTCGGAGCGCCATAGCTGGATGAGCCTATTACGAGAACAGCGAGGTGGCGGCTATTACGTGCTACCACTGCCATATTCTCACTTTGCATCGAGTGCCAGAGGGAACATCGACATTGACTACCAGGTAGTACTACTACCGTTGTTGCTTGACGTGCCTACCGTAGGGGGGTATCGTGACGAGAACCGAACGGCTTCCAGCAAGACGAACTAGGTGCTTCGAACGTGGAGCATAGCGTGGTCTCATCTCCCGGCATGAGAATCGGCATGAAGATGCTTGTTCCTGTAACGAGTTACCAGGTGGCAGCACGTTGGGTGGTGGGGGTTGGTGCAGCGCAACAGTTTAGCTGCCCTAGGGGTTGCAAGGAACGCGCTGTCAATGAGCCAATGTTTCGAATCCTAAATTGCAGCAGACTACTTGGGCTAGAACGCCCTAGCGCCCACAATGCCTGATCGGAATTATAAGTGCGTCAAGTAGAAAGTAATTACATGCGTGAGCACGGGAACTGAACCAAGCCTTGCCGCACACCAAAAAATAAAATCGATGTGACTGCAGCAAATTGGCAGCGCGTTGTCGGCGCACATTTGTGCGTTTGGAGCCGTGATGGATGCAAGACATCGCGGTTCGAGAATACCCCGAGTGGTTGCGTTGAAACATTGATTTCGTGGCACGGCTATTTGTAGCGGGGATGTAACATGATTGATGCGATAAGGGAATGACGATTTTGGGAAATGTTGAAAGGTTCACAAAGTTTCCCTTCAAAACAAGGTGCTCACAGGTTGCTTCAAACTAATCATCCTGCACGCGTAAACTAACAGTGTCAGTCCGGCCGCCGTATCGCACACTGGTATGCTTCTGTGCATTTGCAGTCTCAGATTAGGGTGAATACTTGGCGTGACTTACAACGACTATACCAGTGTTCACACCTAGCAACCATCAATAAACATTGTGCAATTCGTGAGAGCAAGCACAATTTGGATCACATCAACAACTGGCTTGCCGCGTAGATGTTACAGCCTTGGAGATGATAGAAGCTGCATAGTGTCCATATTACTACGCTCACGGGCCGATGCATAGCACCCTTTCTAGGGCGCTGCAGAAGGACGATTCGCGTTGAGGTGCATGTGAAAGTGAAATACTCACATGGTTGCCTGCCATGCCTCTTGGAGGTTGTTCCTGACTACTCATCAAGTTCTGCAAGACCCCAACCACTATGTTGTGTTTCTGAGTGTCCTGACTGACACCATGTAGTGGTCGGCTTAGAGCTTAACACACCATGCAAAGCAGTTACCGTACTGTCATGTCAGTTTCCATCAAGCGTCGAGCAGTACGAAGCAACAGATTGTCAGGTGCAAATGCATGTCACTAACCAACACCAAGCAGGCTTAATGGCATCAATCAGCCTGGATCGACCCACATGCATTGTGATAGACACAGGATCACCTAGCCAAATCGTCACGATACTGGCGCCTCCACTGTCTTGGCGTCCCGGCCAAGTCACACGCATTCAATCTGTCGAACTTGGTCTCGACAAGCGTATGAATGACACGCATCACAAAAACGCCACAGTCGTTCTCGTTGTCTTGCTGACGCACCTGCATAGCGCACTCGGAGTGGATGGTGCTTGTATTATGCATAATCCCACGCCTGTCCATGCACCGCCGTCCCTCCCACTCCCTTACCCATCCGCGCATCGCGCGCCTGTCCACGCTCCACCGTCCCTCCCACTCCCCATTCCCATTCGCGCATCCCACGCCTGTCCATGCATAGCCGTCTCTCCCACTCCCTACTCATCCGCCCCACGTCTGTCCATGCATAGCCTACTCTCCTACCCCCTTACCCATCCGCGCATCCCACGCCTGTCCATGCACCGCCGTCCCTCCCACTCCCTTATCCATGCGCGCATCGCGCGCCTGTCCATGCTCCACTGTCCCTCCCACTCCCCATTCCCATTCGCGCATCCCACGCGTGTCCATGCATAGCCGTCTTTCCCACTCCCTACTCATCCGCGCATCCCATGCCTGTCCATGCATAGCCTACTCTCCTACCACCTTACCCATCCGCGCATCCCACGCCTGTCCATGCACCGCCGTCCCTCCCACTCCCTTACCCATGCGCGCATCGCGCGCCTGTCCATGCTCCACTGTCCCTCCCACTCCCCATTCCCATTCGCGCATCCCACGCCTGTCCATGCATAGCCGTCTTTCCCACTCCCTACTCATCCGCGCATCCCACGCCTGTCCATGCATAGCCTACTCTCCTACCTCCTTACCCATCCGCGCATTTCACACCTGTCCATGCACCGCCGTCCCTCCCACTCCCTTACCCATCCGCGCATTTTACGCCTGTCCATGCACCGCCGTCCCTCCCACTCCCTTACCCATCCGCGCATCGCGCGCCTGTCCATGCTCCACCGTCCGTCCCACTCCCTATTCCCATTCGCGCATCCCACGCCTGTCCATGCACAACCGGGTATCTCGTGCACGTACCTCGATGACGTGTAACTGGATCGCGTCAGCCCACGATTTCGCCTCTGTCTCCGTGACCCATGCGTAGCGCTTCATGACGTTTGTCATCAAACATCTGCGCATTGGGACGTACATGTAGTTAGGATCGGTCCGCAATACACAAGTTTCATAAGCATCACGAATAGCTCACCTTTTTAATGGACCATGGATGTCGACGTGACTTGCATATGAGTCCGCATGCCACAATACACACTTGCTCGGGATCAGAGATCCTGGAGCATGGTTGATTTCGATGACTCCAAGGCTCCAGTGCGCACTGCATTTTGGAATCATTCAAAGATCATTAGATTGCTGCAACCTTGAACGTATGAATCCTTCAAACAATTGCCCGAGCACATACTCCTTGTTAATCGGAACAAGCACGTGTTTAAACGATAAGATGTCGAGGCCATATGCCAGCCTAGTGATTCTCTTAGACCCCGGCCGCGCGACGAGTGTCCAGAAATACGGCGATGTGCAAAGCCACTCAGCATTTTCGAGTCCGTTCTCATAGTGTAACATCCTGCGGGAACGCCATGGAAATGTGGAAACTTGCGGTAGCGCGTGAGTAAATTTGATCAAGGTGCCGCCATGTCTATTACCTTTGCGTTTTAAGCTACTCACGATGATAGCCACTCGATAACCGTGCCACTGATCCACTGCTCGTTTCTCAACGTGCAGTAATATGAGGGCTTGATTTCAAGCCACCCCCCCCCAAACGGGATGGCATGCTCATGTGCTGGAAACGACATCGCGATAACTTGGGTATGCCCTTCTCCTCCATACCTTGAGATAGTAAACTCACAGTTTGAGCCGGATCTTGCCTTAGGGAAGGGTCGAAATTCCGTTGCCCAGGCAGCTCAACGCAAAGTCGAAGCAGGTACTGTAGTTCCTGAAGTAGGACCCACACGCCCTTGCTTTTCGTTGGTCAACTTTGTGCCAAAATCCCTGCTCCCATACGTCGTCAGCGAATAGCGTGCTCGTGATATCCTGTCAACATGGTGAACAGTGTGGAGAAGTCTGACAGGATTCTCTGCTCCAATGACATTCGAGCGGCTTTTGTATTTCTGACACAGTTGGCGTGTATGCGAAATTGATGTCAGGTCCATGTCGCAAGTGGAAATGTTCCCAGCTCGGTACAAAACTTCGTCAGGTTGTTGCGACGAGAGAGCTGTTTTTGTACGCGACAACAGTTACAATATGCGGAGTATGAGAGTCGCATGGCCCACTCGCCCAACTGCGCGTGGTCGCGCACCAACAAACTGGGTGACCTAAATTCGAGCAGAACGCCACAAACCCTAACCAATTGCATACCAACTACCGACACCCGATAACCAATCGCCAATCAGGGTCAATGGAAACAGGTGTTCAGACTCAGATCGCAAATTCGTATTCGCGCCCAACCCTTCCCTCGTAAACTATCGTCCATTCGACAGGCGCTATCTCATTCTTGTGCAGTGTTGGCATTCACATATCAAACTGGTGTGCCAAACACCCTTTCAGTCTTACGGACAGATCTGCTCGATGGAGGCTCAGGCTTGTGAGTTCTGCAATAAGCGCGTGTACTGCTATCAATACGTAAGTAGCCATCAAGCTAACCATGACGGCTGTAAGCGGGCCCAAAAACGCAAGGCTGAAGAGGATGCTAAACGTAAGAAGCTAGACCGTGGCGTGGAGAAGCAGTATACCTTTGTTCCGTTAGCAACAGCCACCCTTCCCGCGCCAGCGCATTCAATTCCTATAGCGGCACTTCCGAACGCAGTAGAGCAGCACCCGCAGCCGGCAGAGCGAGTTCCTGATGCGGTTCGTACGTGCAGCACCACACTCGTGGTGGAAGAAGCTCCTACAGAGGAAATTCTTGATGTTAAGGCGGAAATATGCATTTTGGCACGATCTCACGGTCTAACCAACGGGGCGATAAACGACACAATACAGTTAGTTAGACACCCAAAATTAGATCCAAAGCAGCTGGACAATTGGAACAGCTACAGGGACCTGGAGAAGTACGAGAACAGCTTTGACCTTGGAGCGGAGAATGAATGGATCGTCGAGGAGATCGAAGTGGATCACGAGGTTGGGTTTCTCACCTTCAAGCGCCGAAACGCGATAACTGTGAGTGTATCCATGCGTGCGGGGTCACGTTTGTCACAGTGGAGTGTGTTTTCTGAGACCGACTAAACCATCAGTCCAAATGGAACCATCAATCCTACGCTTCTGTTTTCCATCATTGTTGCCATCCTTATCACCATCAGCTCCTTCAGTCCATGTTCAACAAGATGTCGGCTGTCAAGGGATTCAGCATCATGCCTCAAGAGTGGAAGGTTGATGGGGTTCGCCGCTACAGTACCCTTGCAAACACGGATTGGATGCTCGAGGCTTGGGTAAGTTCCATGCCATCTCATGTCGCGTTGGACATGAGCATTGAAACCTAGGATCCAATACGTCTTTCCTTCCCTTTATCATCACTGTGGCAGGAAAGGGTGCGGAAGTTTGGCATAGTTATAGCTCTCATTTTGTTCTCAGACCAGACCAATCTATCGTACAACGGGCGCCAATCTGCCCACCCATTTCTGTTGTCCTTTGGGAACATTCCTGAATGGGCTAGGTGGCTTGAAGGAGGCACTGAGCTTCTCGGGCTCCTGCCTAACATCCCAGCTGACCTCTCGCCAGAAGAGAAGGTTCGAGTGTTCCACGACGCTGCAGAGATCATGATTCGAGATTTAAAGGCGGCTTCACATCTTTCAGGGTGAGACACTGCTACTCTCGCCCAAAGGCGCGCATCCCTTGTACTCTCCAGAATCCACCACACTACCCTACTTATTTTCATTGCCTGTCTAATCCACACTCCCCTCCCTTTTTGACCCCCCTTCTCCTCTGTTCTTCTTTCGCATGCGTGCCACGACGCCGGATTCAGTCGAAAGTACTCTGCTCCCAGCCACCATGCTTCACCTAATACCATTCGGGTTCCTCCTGTACCACCGTCTCCTGCCGTTGAAACCATCCCTGCTTGCTGTCCCCCTCCTCCTAACCGTCCTTCATCTGCTTGCTTACAGCAACCCATGCTCACACCATCAGTAACATATCCAACATGGTCTCCCATCCTCGCCATACCCCCCCCTGCTTTACCCCTCATCCTGGCGGCTGTGCAGGGGCGGTGTGATGGTGGAAGACAGTGCCGGCGTGCAGTATAGAGCATTCACGCTCCTTTATTCATGGGTGGCCGATCACCCGGAGTCTTCTAAGATCACCTGTACGATGGCATGCAACTCACACCATCCGTGCTCGTTGTGCTTGGCTGAAAAGGAGGGCCTGGATGAGATGAACTTTGAGTTGACTCAACAGCCAACTGATAAGAAGCGCCTGGATGAGCAGGACGAGACCATTGTCCCCAGAAATGTCGAGGGTCGGAAGGAATCTGCGGAAACCAAAAAGAAGCAGGAAGACACCATTGTCCTTAGAACTGTCAAGGGTCAGAAGGATTTTCACAAGGAGATGAAAGCCACGAAGACCAAAAAGGAGCTGAAGGCGGTGAAGAAGAAGTCCTCTACACACTTTGTGAAGGTGCGCCTTGCCCAGCTTGCTCCGCATGCATCCTTGTGGTTCTCATATGGTTTCCCTCCGTATCCACCATATACTGCTGTGGCTAGTGTGCCCGAAAACCTACTCCGATCTGCATCTTGCAGTTCGTATTTATTATCCTGACCCGCCATAGTGAGTTTGTGTCCTTGACCCCCGACGCAGAGCCTTTTGTGGGACTGGGAATTCGCAAAAACTCTCTGGGGCAACACGTACCTTGCTGTGCCCCCGGACATCATGCACATCTGGGAGCAGGGCATATGGCTGCATGCCATGAAGTGCCTGGTGAAGAAGCTGACCCCGAGGGAACGGAAGATTCTTCTGGAGTGAGTTGTTCCGCGCCCTGCTTCATGCTACTCCCCTCCGTGCTTGCTTTCCGCGCCCTGCTTCATGCTACTCCCCTCCGTGCTTGCTTTCCGCGCCCTGCTTCATGCTACTCCCCTCCGTGCTTGCTTTCCGTGCTCTGACTAACTGTTACTCACGCCTAGGCGATACAAGATTTTGAAGGAGGCCACACCAGCTTCCGTGCTACGTCTTCCTTCGGCGTGGGCCTACTTCACATCCACCGCTTGCTTTTCAGCTGCAGAGCATCGGGCGATGATGCAGGTCCTGCCCCTCATCATCAACCTCCCAGGACGAGAAGATATCCGCACGGCCATTGTCAAGATGGTCGAGTGGTACAAGGAGTTCATCCGCGCTGAGTATCACACCGACGAATCTCTGGAACGGATGAAAGACGCCACCATCAAGTAATTAGTCCGTCTGTTATGTGGTTTCCCAGGCCCATCTTCTCCCTCTGCACTGCATCGCTGTCCCTCCATAACCCACCTCCCTGCTCCCTCCTTCCGTGTTTCTGTTTTCGCTGTCTGCTTCCTCACTCCCCCTCCCGCATCCCGTTTCTCCCTTCCTGGCCTGCATTCCCCCTCTTAACTGCATGCCTTGTGTCTAAATTTTCTCCAGGATGGTGAAGGCTCTTTGTGTCGCTTTCCCTAAGCAGAAGTCAAAGTGGAAAATTGTTAAGATTTATCTTCTCGTTCACCTCCCATCAACCATCCGTATGAGGGGGATCCCTGCCGAGTACTCGTCGAACTGCTACGAGCACTCCCACAAGACCACTGTGAAGCGTCCTTCACGTGGCACAAACTGGAAGAATGTTGAAGATCGAATCGTCTGGAAACACCTGGAGCATGCGGTAGTTAGGCAACTCGCGCGGGAGGCCGAAGGGGACAGCACGTACGAGACCTCGATGAAAGAGGTGAGTTTTACGAACCTGCTCTGTTCCCCTGCACCCCGTCGTCTGCTAAGTTTCCCTATTTTAATCCCATGCTGTGATCTCCTGAAGTGATGCCATGCTCTGTTCTCTTGCTCGGTTCCCCTCCTCTGTTCCGCTGCTCTGTTTCCCTGCTCGGCTCTCTTGCTCTCTCCCCCTGCTCTGTTTCCCTGCTCGGTTCTCCTTCTCTCTCCCCCTGCTCTGTTCCTCTAGTCATTTCCCCTTCTTTGTTATCTGCTCTGTTTCCCAGCTGTGTTCCCTACTGTGTCTTCCCCGCTCTGTTCCCTGCACTGTTATCCTCTGCCATGTTCCGTTCTGTGTCTGCCCTGCTTTGTGCCCTGCTGTATTCCCTTCAGTTTCCCTGCTATGCTCCCTTCTGTGTCTGCCCTGCTCTGTGCCATGTTCAGTTTGCCCGAGCTCGGTTCTCATGCTCTCTCCCCTGCCCTCTTTCCCTGCTCGGTTCTCATGCTCTCTCCCCTGCCCTGTTTCCCTGCTCGGTTCTCATGCTCTTTCCTGCTCTGTTTCGCTGCTCGGGTCTCATGCTCTCCCCCCCTGCTCTTTTTCCCTGCTCGGCTCTCTTGCTCTCTCACACTGCTCTGTTCCCCTCGTCATTTCCCCTTCTTTGTTATCCGCTCTGTTACCCTGCTATGTTCCATACTGTGTCTCCCCTACTCGGTGCCCTGTTCTGTTTCCCTGCTCTGTTCCCTGCGCTGTTACCCTGCCATGTTCCGTTCTGTGTCTGCCCTGCTCTGTGCCCTGCTCTGTTCCCTTCACCGTTTCCCTGATTTGTTCACTTCTGTGTCTGCCCTGCTCTGTGCCCCGCTCTGTTCCCTTCACTGTTTCCCTGATTCGCTCACTTCTGTGTCTGCCCTGCTATGTGCCCCGCTCTGTTCCCTTCACTGTTTCCCTGATTTGTTCACTTCTGTGTCTGCCCTGCTATGTGCCCCGCTCTGTTCCCTTCACTGTTTCCCAGATTTGTCACTTCTGTGTCTGCCCTGCTCTGTGCCCTGCTCTGTTCCCTTCACTGTTTACTTGATTTGTTCACTTCTGTGTCTGCCCTGCTCTGTGCCCCGCTCTGTTCCCTTTACCGCTTCCCTGATTTGTTCACTTCTGTGTCTGCCCTGCTCTGTGCCACGTTCTGTTCGCTCGTCTCTTTGCCCGCATTTCTGTTTCCATGCTCTCTGCATGAGTTGGCAATCACATTTAGGACCAACCTAACCAAAGTAATCGATTCCTACCCCCCCATAACCTTCTTCGTCCCCACAACCTCTCCCCCTTTCCCCCACACCCATTCCCCCTTCGTGGCCTTTCCCTTCTTCGCCTACACCTCGCATCCATCCCCTATCCCCCCCCCTCCTCCTCCCTCCAAAAGGACTCACCATACAACCCTCCCCCTCCCTATACCAACCCTCTCCTCTCCACGGTGACAGGCATGCCCGGCTGGCCGGAGGGTGCTTACTAAGACCCACAAGAAGATGGTCCTGGGGGACATCACCGACTCAGTGTTTCGGAGCTACGTCTTGACTGTTGGTGAACCCGCCATGAGTGCGATGGTTCTGCGACTCAGACGGGCAGGCATCAACACGCAAGTTTTGCAGGTGCTAAACCGGTCGTATGGATATGCCATTTTTTCTCACTGCCGCCGAATCCACCCACTCCAGCCCCCCTTCCCCCTCTCCTGCATGCTTTCCACTCACTCCAGCCCCGCTTCCCCCTCTCCTGCATGCTTTCCACCCACTCCAGCCCCCCTTCCCACTCTCCTGCATGCTTTCCACTCACTCCAGCCCCGCTTCCCCCTCTCCTGCATGCTTTCCACCCACTCCAGCCCCCCTTCCCCCTCTCCTGCATGCTTTCCACTCACTCCAGCCCCGCTTCCCCCTCTCCTGCATGCTTTCCACTCACTCCAGCCCCGCTTCCCCCTCTCCTGCATGCTTTCCACCCACTCCAGCCCCCCTTCCCCCTCTCCTGCATGCTTTCCACCCACTCCAGCCCCCCTTCCCCCTCTCCTGCATGCTTTCCACCCACTCCAGCCCCCCTTCCCCCTCTCATGCATGCTTCCCACCCACTCCAGCCCACCTTCCCCCTCTCCTGCATGCTTTCCACTCACTCCAGCCCCGCTTTCCCCTCTCCTGCATGCTTTCCACTCACTCCAGCCCCGCTTCCCCCTCTCCTGCATGCTTTCCACCCACTCCAGCCCCCCTTCCCCCTCTCCTGCATGCTTTCCACCCACTCCAGCCTCCCTTCCCCCTCTCCTGCATGCTTTCCACCCACTCCAGCCCCCCTTCCCCCTCTCCTGCATGCTTTCCACTCACTCCAGCCCCCCTTCCCCCTCTCCTGCATGCTTTCCACCCACTCCAGCCCCCCGTCCCCCTCTCCTGCATGCTTTCCACCCACTCCAGCCCCCCTTCCCCCTCTCCTGCATGCTTTCCACCCACTCCAGCCCCCCGTCCCCCTCTCCTGCATGCTTTCCACCCACTCCAGCCCCCCTTCCCCCTCTCCTGCATGCTTTCCACCCACTCCAGCCCCCCTTCCCCCTCTCCTGCATGCTTTCCACTCACTCCAGCCCCGCTTCCCCATCTCCTGCATGCTTTCCACTTACTCCAGCCCCGCTTCCCCCTCTCCTGCATGCTTTCCACTCACTCCAGCCCCGCTTCCCACTCTCCTGCATGCTTTCCACCCACTCCAGCCCCCCTTCCCCCTCTCCTGCATGCTTTCCACCCACTCCAGCCCCCCTTCCCCCTCTCCTGCATGCTTTCCACCCAATCCAGCCCCCCTTCCCCCTCTCCTGCATGCTTTCCACTCACTCCAGCCCCGCTTCCCCCTCCCCTGCATGCTTTCCACTCACTCCAGCCCCGCTTCCCCCTCTCCTGCATGCTTTCCACTCACTCCAGCCCCGCTTCCCCCTCTCCTGCATGCTTTTCACTCACTCCAGCCCACCTTCCCCCTCTCCTGCATGCTTTCCACTCACTCCAGCCCCGCTTCCCACTCTCCTGCATGCTTTCCACTCACTCCAGCCCCGCTTCCCCCTCTCCTGCATGCTTTCCACCCACTCCAGCCCCCCTTCCCCCTCTCCTGCATGCTTTCCACCCACTCCAGCCCCCCTTCCTCCTCTCCAAAATGCTTTTCCACCCACTCCAGCCCTTGGCCGATTTCCCCCTTTTCGCTATGCTCTCCACCGCCTCTTTCGCTGCTTTCACATTTTCTTGGTTCATGCTCGTGGTTTCAGGTGCACACGGCACTTGCGATTCCGCCCCACGACAAGATGGAATGGACGTCAAGGGGGCAGTTTGTCAAGGCTAGCCCGGGCGAGAAGATCTTTTCATCTGTTGCAATCAACCCTGCAGGGAAGGGGTCTCCCTGGTACGGCTGTTGTCTTGTCCTGTTTCACTACAACAAAGATGGGGAGCTGAGGCGCGGAGCATACGTGGAGTATTACACCGAGGACAAGCGACTATGCCCGTCAACGGGATGCAAGCACCTTCTACCCATAGAGGGCGAGGATGATTTTGCAGTGATTGATGTCGACTGCATTCTCAGTCTCGTACACATTGTTCCCTCATGTGAGGACGATGAAGTGAGCCTTCTTAATAGATTCGTTTGGTGAGGTCTAGTAGAGAACTTTGACGCATTGTGACTTTTGTAAACATGAAATTGTTCCCTGAATATGTTCTTTTTAGGCCTTGTTAGAATCTAATAGGCGTAAAATTTCCTTCAAATGGTTAAACATGCCTCTTGGAAACACTATTTTCATAGAGAAAATTACATCATAATATTCAAAGAAACATAAGTGCAAATGTCATGAATGTAACAAATGGTACACAGAAGCCTAAACGAGGAATTCTTGGAGAGAATCAAATTTCTCGCTATCTGCTCCCACGCGAAGAGACATGGACTATCTGTTAGGCCCGGAACCCTAATCCTGCGCACAAGCAAGAAAGAGTTAGGAGCAAACATTCAGAATGTGCCTGGAAAACATTCCGCCAAAGGCAAACGTTTTTTAGAGTTTCCCTGTACGTTTTTCGAACGATTGTCAAACGTACGATAGGCCGCCGCGAATGTCAGATGATTTTCAGACACACGCATTTTTGTGATGGTCTTTTTTTTTTCGCTTCTAACAAATGCTCTTGCGAACTCCAATGTGAGCACTCATGAGTTCTCCTAAGATTCATGCGAGCTAACAGCTATAAAACGATCTTTACCGTTTTATACCTGTTATGTAGCTATTTTGCTAAGGAACATGACTTTCTCTTGAAAATTCATTTTCGCTGAGTCAGCGCGGGATACAGTTTTTAAATGTAATTCGAGCACCCCCCCTTGTCACACGTCACGACCGAGATATGACTTGGTCGTGCTGTACAATGCGATCGCGACAGCGATCGCGCACAGTACAGCACAGGAAAAATAGATCGTGTCGTTCTGTTCTGTTGCGGTTGCGTACACTGTGCGCGGTCGCAAGTGTGACACATGCGTGTTCCCTGTGGGGCCACACGCGCGTGTCAGGACCCCACGCGTGGTTCCTGACTTTCGCACACTTCTGTTGTCTCTCGCAAGAAGTCAACTGGTCCCCCCTCTCTAGTCAAACAATCGAGCACCCTGGTACTCCATTCACTCGCCATGGGAGCTCAATGAGCCTTTCATGAGGATCCCATGTGAGTCTCATGAGAGCTTCATTTTAGCGCCATGAGAACTTCATTTTAGCGCCATGAGAGCTTTATGAAAGCTTCGGGTGAGTGTTTCATGTGAGTTTCATGAGTTCTTCATGAGAGCCATGAACACACAATATAAAATGCATCAACACAAAATATGATAACAAATTGCCCATCCGCGAGGATCTGCGGGGAAATTTGCGGATTTGAGCGGTTTTTTCAACCTGCCCGGTTTCTTATAACCTGCCCAAAAAAGCGTTTTCCTGGATTGGGGCCCTTAGCGTGTATAGTACGACACGTGTATATACGCTATACGCGTATATGCCAACATAGATGATAACCCTCCTCTCTCACCCTGTCCTCTCAATGCGTACAGGTGGAGGTGGTGTTTGCGGGCACGGCATGTGATGCCATCCGGAGCAGCGCGCAGCAGCTGCTGCAGCGACTAGCAACGACCTCTAAGGATGCATTTAACAACTTTGAGCTGGCAGTGGCGAGCGATGAGAATTATACCATGCCGCGCGATGGCACTAGGCATGCGCTCACCAGCCACGTGGTGAACAACTTCAACTATCTCAATGACGGGTGAATCGTTGACTTGTGATGTGTCGTTGACTTCTGAAGCTTGGCTTGCCTGTGCGTTGGACGGGAGGGGATAACTTCACTTCACCACAACATGGCACGCGCTGGCAGGATGACACGAGGCATGCGCTCACGAGCCACGTTGCTAACTTCTTTAACTATCTCCATTACGAGTGCGTCGTGGGCTTTTGATGCGTCATTGACTGATGCATCGTTGGCTGTGTGAGAGAGGGGAGGAGGGAATTACTCCACCACAGCATGCCGCGTAATGACATCGTGCATGCACTCACCAGCTACATGGTTAACAGCTTCAACCATCCCAATGATGAGTGCGTCGTTGGCTCTTGATGCGTCGTTGAGTTCTCATGCATCGTTAACTGTGCGTCGCTGACTGTGTGTCGTTGGCTTTGATGCGTGGCTGATTGTTGTCCCCTTCACTCGTTCCCTTTACCCGTCCCCTCTTCTGGTCCCCTTAACTCGTCCCCTTTACTTTCCCCCTTTACTCGTCCCTTTTGATTGTCCCCTTTACTTGTCCCCTTCACACGCCCCCTTAACTCGTCTCGTCCCTTTCCCTTGTCCCCTTTACTTCTCCTTTCCCTTTACGCGTCCCTCCCTTTCAGCTTCCAGCCCACCATGCAGTCACTCTTTGGCGCTGGCAGCAACATCTTCAGTGACAATATGAAGCGGGCCTTTGCGGTGCTTTACACAAACCTGGTGGAGAGGAAGAGCAAGCAGTATGACAATGCGGCGCTCAGTGAGTTCTTCCTCATGAACAACGCTCACTACATCGTGGAGCGTGTCATCAAGTAAGGAATAGCCCTGTTCATTCCGCAAGGTGTACTGTGGTGCGTCGTTCACAGTGCAAGGAGGATGTATGTACCATGCAACAATGGTCCCTCGGGCAGTTCTTCCTCAAGAACAACGTGCGCTACATCGTGGAGCGCGTGGTAAAGTGAGGGAGGGAAAATGGAGAAGTTATGTGGGGGTGAGGGTGGGGAAAGGGGAGGGGTCAAGGTAAGCCTTGTTCACAGTGCAAGAAAGCAGTATGACAAATCTTTCCCTCTCCCTCTCCCTCTCCCTCTCCCTCTCCCTCTCCCTCTCCCTCCTTTCTTCTCAGTGGCAATCTAAAGGATGTGGTGGGGGAGGAGTGGATATACCAGCAGCGGGGCATCGTGGAGAAACATGCCAAGGCGTACCTTCGGATGTCATGGAGAAAGGTGGGGTGGCGAGGGGTAGGGGGTGGGTGGAATTCTGATGCAAAAAGGTAGTGCAGCAACGTGTAGCAATGTGTTGTGGAGCAGCATGCCATGGCATACCTTCGGATGTCGAGGAGCAAGGTGAGAAGGCGAGGGGTAGGGGGGAAAGGAGGAAGTGGGGAAGGGTGGATTCCACACTTTACGCAATATTATAGATCAGCAACGTCCAGCAATGTCACGTTGTGGAGCAACATGAATTTGCGTTATGCATACCTTCGGATGTCAAGGAACAAGGTAAGAAGGCGAGGGGTGGTGGGGAAGAGGAAGGGAGGGGTGGGGGGCATAGTGTTACAACCACAGTAGGCTCAAATAGATATGAGCACGAACCGAACTCAAACGTGTTTGCTCAAACTTTTTCGAACCTTGCATGATGGTCGAACCGAACCGAACAGGTGCGCTCGAACTTTTTTTAGAATTCTGATGTTTGAGGTTTGAGTATATAATAGCAAAACCTAAAGGTTTGCTCAAACAGTGAAAGGTTTGAGCGATCTCGAACCTAGGAAGGTTTGGGGTAAAAAAACGGAATGCTCTGCTCCAGCTGGGAACATAATGTATGCGCACTGTTATCTCTAACCTAACACCTAAATGTATGACGCATCTTAAGAGGAAGGTCTAGTTAATGAATGGTAGATCATTGCAGATCTAGATATGCTCTAGTAAATTTACGAGTTTAGAATCGGCTGCCGTGAAATGGCAGCCAACCCTTTGACCCTGCCGTTTTTTATGAGAAAGTCGCGTGGGATTCGGCGGGTATCTAATTCGAACCCCACGCAGTGCGAATTAGACAGTTTTGAACTTCAAACCTGTTCGGTTCGAAGTCCAAAACTGGAACTTCAAAATTTTGAGGGTTTAGGTGTCAGTAGAGCTACACTGTGAGATCCCCGATCGATCCTAGGGGGGTTTACAGGCGCGTTTGCCTGGGGGGTTATGGGCGCACTGACCCGCTACTGAAACAAGCCCTTTTATCCCAATGGTCTAGTGGTTGGGATTCTGACATGGTATCAGAGCGGTCTCGGGTTCGAATCCCGGTGTATGCACATGTAGGCCGTTGCCACTGTGCTCAGTCCTGGGCCTCCCAGTGTGGGGGGGTGTCAGTAGAGCTACACTGTGAGATCCCCGATCGATCCTAGGGGGGTTTACAGGCGCGTTTGCCTGGGGGGTTATGGGCGCACTGACCCGCTACTGAAACAAGCCCTTTTATCCCAATGGTCTAGTGGTTGGGATTCTGACATTAGGGTGGCTTGCTTGCTAGCTTGGCAAAGTTGGTTTGCTTTGCCCTCAGCTTTGAGTTGCTGTAGCTAGCCTCAACAGTTCAGCCATACATATGTGGCTTCTTTTTTCTTGAGAACGCATCATTGGACAAGGACATTGCTCTAGTTACACACATTCGACATCATGACTCATCATTTACACACTATTATAAGCATGAAATATATATATTATCTCATGCGTTCATACGATTCAATGCAAACACACATGCACGCATAAGGACAACAAGCCGAGTGCAAACGATGTGGTTGCATCAACACGTAGGACCTTTTATGCAATAATGTAGCGCATGGTGGGTTGTGTTTTAATTATTATGTACAACGTACATAGGCTACAACAAGAAGTGTAGCTGCTCTAGGCGAAAATAAGAGGTGTAACTGCTAGCTATCGAGGGATTATTGGGTGTGCCCGCCAACCACATTTGTGGTTGGATCTTAGGTGGGTCTCCAACAATCATTGGCCTTGTAATAATGCTGGTCAGAATCCAACCAACAATGGTTGGACCCCCACTAGTGTTGGTTGACCCAACCACAAATATTTGGGCCTTCAGTAATCATTAAAAATTCCAACCTAAAGTATCAATGACTTTACCTGGGTTTACCTCAGCTCAGCTCACTTGGTTGGGCTTCAACCAATACAACAATCCTTTGTTCACATGATTTCCTCTCACAAGCACTACTTGTGTACTTTTTTTGGTAAAAAGAATCACCATTCAGGCGCCTCAAAATTCGCCATCTTCTTTACACGGTTGCTGCATACTTCCTCTGGTAAAGGTTTTTGAGTCGTCTCAAAAACCAAACCAATACTGTTCATGACTCCTTTTCTGGTAGAGGGCAGAACCTGGCTCTTCCTCTCCTCGCCAGAATCGATACAATCCTGTTTTCTCGCAACTTCCCCTGTCCTGGGCACTTCATTTTTTTGGTAAGGTGCAGCACATCCAAGGCGTCTCAAAAGTTGCAACTCTCCCTCTCCCTCGCTTACGCTTGCCAGATTTTTGAGCTACTGAAGCCGGAAGGGCCATCAGAGGAGGGCATGGAGGGCATTGCGCGCCGCAACACTGTCAAAGAGAAGTGAGATGGGGAGTGGAGCAGAGGCGTGTGTATATGAGCTGGGCAGTTGGGGGAGACTGAGGTGAGTGTGTGAGGTGGGCAGTCTCCCTTCACTCTCCTTCTCCCTCTCGTCTCCCTCTCCTCTCCCTCTCCTCTCCCTCTCCTCTCTCCTCTCCGTCTCCTGTCCCTCCTCTCTCCCTCTTCTCTCCCTCCGCCTCTCACCTCCTCTCCCCCCCGGATTAATGCCACATATAATTTATTGCATAGAAATTCCCACTTTCAGCTCACCTCTCTCTCCTCTCTTCTTCTCACCCTCCCCCTTTCCCCATTGCAGGTTCGATGCGTTCAATGCGTTGCGCGCAGTGCGTGTGGAAGATTGTTACCTCATCCCATCTCTCCCTTCCGTCTCCGTCTCCCCTTTTTCGCCCTTCCCCCTACAGGTTCCGCATGTTATTGTCACGTTTGAGGAGCTGCATCGCTCGCAATGCGTGTGGAAGATCCATGCCTCATCCTAGCTCTCCCCCTTTCATCTCACCTCTCTTTTCCCCCTTCCCCCTTCCCCCCCCTGAAGCTCAATCGCATGCAGTGCATGTGGAAGATCCCCGACCCGTTTCCCCCACCTTCCCCCCCACCCATCCCTCCCTCTCTCGTCTTCCCCACCCCCTTTTCCAGGTTCCGTGTGTTCAATGCCACATTTGAGGAGCTGCATCGCACGCAGTGCATGTGGAAGATCCCAGATCCCAAACTGCAATCCGCCCTGCAGCAAAGGATTTCCAAGGACCTGTTGCCCGCCTACCGCTCCTTTCTGCAGCGATGCACGTGAGTTGGGTAGAGGCTGCTGTGTGTTTGGTCATCGGTGTGCGTGTCTGTATGTACAGCTCTTTGCTTCAGAGCAATGCCTTCATGCATGCATGCCCCAGATAGTCGTGTTGCTGCTGCCTGCCTACCGCACCTTCATGCAACGATACACATGAGGTTGAGGTGTATTGCACATGAGTTGCTGGTCGCTCCTTTGAGCAGCGATACATGTCAGTTGGCTAGAGGTTAGGTGTTGTGTTGCAAATGAGTTGCCGCCAGGGTGGTTTGTTTCTCTGTGTGCGCCTGCATGTGTTGCCGCCCGCCTGCATGTGCTGCCGCCCGCCTGCATGTGTTGCTGCCCGCCTGCCGCTCCTTGGTGCACTGATACGTATGACTTGCATGTTGCTCCCATCGTAGTTGTTTGTGTCGTGTTGCATGTGCTGCTCCCACCCCTTAGGCCTTGGTGCAACGAGGCATGCTATGCACCATGCGCTATGTTACTTCTTGAGTTGAGTCAAAAGTCACCTTGGTACGTGCTATGCACCATGCACTATGTTACTTCTTGAGTTGAGTCAGAAGTCACCTTGGTACGTGCTATGCACCATGCGCTATGTCCTCTGCAAGCGCGCGTGTGGCAGTGAGCTGGCGCGAGGGACGAGATAAGCGCGCGTGGGTCCACAATTGTGTCAGATTTGTATGACATAGCTGTTGTAGGCTATAGTCGGGTAGCACATATGGGGTACAGCTTTCTAGGGTTGTATTTGTACCCAACTTTCACTTAGTCATTTCATTCTCGTTCTAACTTTCTCATGGTATCGAGCAGGTTCCCTCGTGGGAACTGTGCCTAGGGCCCACCACATCGAATATTTTTTTTCTTTCCTGCCCGGAGCGCGCTCCCCGAGTCGCGCTCCCCTCTCTGCCTTCGTCTAGCCGCCCTAGCGGCCACGTCGCGTCGCCCCTAGCGGCCTCCCTTGCGCCGCCCTTACGGCCCGTCGCGGCCCTTACTCGGCCCGTCCCCGCCCTCCCTTGCAGCCCCGCCGCCCTCACTTGCGGCCCCGCCGCCCTCAGTTGCGGCCTCGCCGCCCTCACCTGCGGCCCGTCGCCGCCCTCAGCTGCGGCCCCATCGCCGCCCTCACCTGCGGCCCGTCGCCGCCCTCAGTTGCGGCCCCGTCGCCGCCCTCAGTTGCGGCCCGTCGCCGCCCTCAGCTGCGGCCCCGTCGCCGCCCTCACTTGCGGCCCCACCGCCCTCAGTTGTGGCCCCGTCGCCTTCACCTGCGGCCCCGCCGCCCTCAGTTGCGGCCCCGCCGCCCTCAGTTGCGGCCCCGTCGCCGCCCTCAGTTGCGGCCCCGTCACCGCCTTCAGTTGCGGCCCGTCGCCGCCCTCAGCTGCGGCCCCGTCGCAGCCCTCACCTGCGGCCCGTCGCCGCCCTTACCGGCGGCCCTGCCGCCCTCACCTGCGGCCCGTCGCCGCCCTCAGTTGCGGCCCCGTCGTCGCCCTCACCTGCGGCCCGTCGCCGCCCTCAACTGCGGCCCCGTCGCTGCCCTCACCTGCGGCCCGTCCCCGCCCTCAGCTGCGGCCCCGTCGCCGCCCTCATCTTCGGCCCCGCCGCCCTCAGTTGCGGCCCCATCGCCTTCACCTGCGGCCCCGCCGCCCTCACTTGCGGCCCCGCCTTCAGTTGCGGCCCGTCGCCGCCCTCACCTGCGGCCCCGCCGCCCTCACTTGCGGCCCCGCCGCCCTCAGCTGCGGCCCCGCCGCCCTCAACTACTACACCGCCGCCCGCCGCCCGGGCCGCCCGAGCCGCCTCACCCAGCCGAGCAGCCGAACGCCGCGCCGCCCTGCAGCAGCACAACCGAGCCGCCCATCAGCAGAGCAGCCGAGCCGCCGGGCTGTCGGGTCGCCCTGCAGCCGAGCCGCCCAGCCTCCGTGCAGCCGAGCCGCCCAGCAGCCGAGCCGCCCAGCAGCCGAGCCGTCGAACCGCCGAGCCGCCCTTCCGCCGAGCCGCCCGAGCAGCCCTCTCCGGTGAGCACAGCACCTCTATCGCTGCACTGCCCTTTCCCTACTGCTTGCACTGCTGGTCTACTGTTATCATGGCTACCCCTAGTGTCCTCGCTTTTGATGCTGAGGGTCGATCCATTGACTTTGACGTCTGGGTCGACGACCTGCAGCTGTTCTTACAGTGCGATAGGGCAGACGATCTCTCTCTCTTTGACCTCACCTCTGGCGCCTCTCCTGCCCCTGCTGCTGATGCTGACGCCACTGTTCGCTCACAGTGGGCCACGCGCGACGCTGCTAGACGTCTTGCTGTGTGTCGCCACCTGCCTACCACTGAGCGCGCGCACTTTAGTCAGTACAAGAGTGCTCAGACCTTGTACGACGCTGTAGTTGCGCGCTACTCTTCCCCTGCCACTGCTGCACTGAGCCGCCTCATGCTACCGTACCTCTTCCCTGACCTTGCTGCCTTTCCGATAGTCACTAACCTCATCACGCACCTCCGCACTAGTGACACTCGCTACCGCGCTGCGCTTCCTACTGAATTCTGCGCCAAGAACCCCCCCCCCCCCATGTACATCACTCTCTATTATATAGTCACCCGCCTCCCTGACTCCCTTCGTGTAGTCAGGGACCACTTCCTCTCGGTCTGTCCCACCACTCTCACTGTTGACCTCCTAGAGAAGGCCCTCCTAGCAGCGGAGAAGAGCATAGTCGCTGTAGGAGCCTCTCGTGGTGACCCTCGCACCCCCATCTTTGAGGGGTGTTCCCCTTCCCCCCATTTGCCCTCTGTCGCATCTGCTGCTGCGGCCTACCTCGTTGGTCTTGAGTCGGTCGGTGCGGCGTCTGCCCCTAGCGGGAGACGCCGCTCTGGCAAGGGCAAGGGGGGCAAGGGCGCGGGTGGAGCTAGCGGGGGTGGTGGAGGTCGCGGTGGAGGCGGCGGAGGGAGTGGGGGTGGTGGTGGGAGTGGTGGCGGGGGTGGAGGTGTCGGTGGCAGCAGTGGAGGCGGAGGCGGCGGAGGCGGTAGCGGTGGGAGCGGAGGCGGCGGTGGTGGCGGAGGTGGAGGAGGCGGTGGTGGAGGAGGTGGAGCTGGTCGGGGTGGCGCTTCGCAGCGGAGCGGCTCCGGTGGTGGCCAGTGCCAGCAGCAGCAGCAGCAGCAGCAGCGTTCTCGGGACATTCCCCCCCCTCAGCACCTCCGTGAGTGGTACGCGCAGCGTCAGCGTGGTGGGGGTTTTGGTCCGTGCACCTACGTCCTTCGCACCGGCGACCGCGCGGGTGAGCAGTGTGGGGGTGCCCACCCCACCCAGCGCTGCTTTGGTCGCCTGACGGACGCTTGGTGTCAGCAGTTCCCGGAGGCTTCTGAGATCCCCCGCTGGGGAGAGCTGTCAAGGGCAGACGTAGCTATCTTTGATCTTGACTTTGATGCTATCCTTGCTGCCATGTATGCTGTGACTATTAGTGATGAGGGTGACTGTTACCGGTGTTTCGCGCCCGACCCGGGCATTGAGACTGCTGCTCTAGGTGCTGGTGAGGCTGCTGCTCTAGGTGCCAGTGCGTCTGCGTCCTCAGGTGCTGGTGAGTCTGCGCTCTCAGGTACCGTGTCGGCTTCGGCCTCCCTCACCTTCACACTTGACTCAGGGGATTCTCGCTCCTTCTTTCGAGACCGCACCACACTCACGCCGCTTGGTCGGCCGGTTGCAGTCTCCCTAGCAGACCCCTCTAGGGGCCCTGTCCCCTCTCATTTCTCTACTGTCCTCCCGTGTCCGGCTGCCCCCTCTGGCACCTTGTCTGGTCGTTACCTCCCCTCGTTCTCTACGAACTTGGTTTGTGGTGCTGACCTACAGGATGCGGGGGTTCACCTGTTTACTCCTGCGAGTCAGCGGGTGACCAACTGCTCGTGTTAGAGACTAAGGACGGAGTCTACGAAGATTAGGTGCCAAAATTCTCAAAATCGTTGGCTTAGAATTCTGGACAGAAATGTCGACTTCACAAGAAACGCCGTCAACGAAAGGTGCACTGTCAAAACTTCACCAAACCTAGTTATGTTGTAGCTCTAGTTTGTGGCTACAATTCCCAATTTGAATCGTACGATAAGATGAAGTATTTCTTGAGTTATGAATTTCGACGCACTAAGGGGTATGCTGCCATAGAATCTTAACTCAATCACAAAGTTCTCACAAGTGAATTGGAGTAGCACTAAACCAGGTGGAAGGGATGAGGAGGACGAGAGGGAAGGTCCCCAGAGAGTCCCCTACCAAGGAAAGCCCATGCCATACAATTCCCTTCCCCATAGGCAACCCAACTTTGACCTTTGTCACTATCCCAACCTCCACAATCCACCTCAACCCAACTTGGCCACACTTGCCAGCCTGGTTTGGTTTCTCCCAACCATTTGGCAGCAACTACAGTAGAAAAGACGAATTTCCCAACCCCCAAAAGTCTGTACCCCATATTGAGTCAACCCCACAACTTCCCATAGTCACCACAACCAAATATCAAAAGCATACGAACTCCAACGTTCGTAAATGTCTTGTTCGTGCTCCGATTGAAGCGATACTTGGTTCCTCGGAAAGCTCTTGAGCAGAGGAGTCACTTCACATATCTGCTCAAGCCAAATAACATTCACACACACACACTCCGAAAAACCAAACCGCACAAAACACAAATTCTTGCACACACTCACAACACGCATGCAACGCACGAACATATGATGGGAGGTAGACAGACGTAAATGCGAATGGTAGCATCACTCAACAGCTCGGACGCTCGCACAGGCAGGCACCTGGCAACGTTTACGCGTCGGCCGAGGTCGAGCCTCTACACCCTGACCACTGAGTCTCCACCTGTCCCTGCGTCTGGCCAGGTAGCTGCGTCGGGTCAGGTGTTTGTTGCAGCTTCCAGGTCTGGTCCTGATTCTGCCCCCTGCTCGTGTCGCCTCCTGTCTCACGAGACTCTCCTGTGGCACCACCGTCTTGGTCACCCCTCCCTGCCTCGTCTCCGAGGCATGGCTTCCCGTGTCCTTGTCTCTGGTCTTCCCCGGTCCCTCCCTCCCCTTCCTCCGGGGCCTGGTCCTTCCTGCGTCCCCTGTGTCAAGGGGCGGCTCCGGGCTGCCCCTCACTCCTCTCAGTTTCCCCCGACAGAGGCCCCACTGCAGACGCTTCACATCGACGTGTGGGGCCCGGCCCGCGTCCGTGGACATGGTCACGAGCGCTACTTTCTGCTGGTGGTTGACGACTACTCGCGTTACACCACAGTCTTCCCCTTGCGCAGCAAGGGCGATGTCACTGAGGTGTTGATCGACTGGATCCGCGCAGCTCGTCTCCAGCTCAGGAGGAGCTTCGGCTCGGACTTTCCTGTTCTGCGTCTGCATTCTGACCGAGGCGGAGAGTTCTCCTCTGGCCTTCTGCGAGCGTATTGCCGTGCGCGAGGCATCCGCCAGACCTTTACGCTTCCGGACTCTCCACAGCAATATGGGATTGCTGAGCGCCGCATTGGCATGGTCATGGACGTCGCTCTTACGTCCATGATGCATGCGGCTGCCCCCCATTTTCTGTGGTCGTTTGCGGTTCGGTACGCGGCGCATCAGATCAACCTTCACCCTAGGGTCTCCATGCCGGAGACCTCCCCAGCTTTGCTGTGGACGGGGAAGGTTGGCAATGCGTCTGGATTCCGTGTCTGGGGATCTCGGGCGTTTGTCCGCGACTTGTCTACGGACAAGCTGTCCCCTCGTGCTGCTCCTTCTGTCTTCCTTGGCTTCCCCCCTGACGCGCCAGGGTGGCAGTTCTACCACCCCTCCTTTCGTCGTGTTCTGTCCTCACAGGACGTCACGTTTGACGAGTCGGTGCCCTACTACCATCTCTTCCCCTACCGCAATCCTTCCCTCCCCCCGCCTCCGCTCTTCCTTGTGCCAGGTCCCCCCCCGGTAGACCCCCTCCCCTCTCAGGGTCCTGCCCCTTCAGGTGTGTCCCAGGTAGACGCAGTCAAGCCGGCCGAGGTTGCTGGTGACTCTAGTACTGCTGCGGGTGCTGAGCCCGGGGGTGCTGACTCTGGGGGTGCTACGCGAGTGGGTGCTGAGCCTGGGGATGCTGAGCTTGGGAGTGCTGAGACTTGGGGTGCTGAGCCTGGGGGTGCTGAGCCTGGGGGTGCTGAGCCTGGGGGTGCTGCGACTGGGGGTGCTGAGCCTGGGGGTGCTACGTCAGGAGCTGCTGAGCCTGGGGGTGCCACGTCTGGAGCTGCTGGGCCTGGAGGTTCTCCGGGTGCTTCGTCTCGGCGGGAGCCGCTCTCTCCACAGGAGCTGCGCAAGTGGTTTGCCCGGCGCCGAAGGCGTACTACTGGAGCTGGAGCTTCTTCGGCTGCTGAGGGTGCTGGTGCCGCCGGTCCCGGAGGTGCTCGTCCGGGGGGTGCTGGAGCTGCTGTACCTGCGAGTGCGACTAGAGCTAGACCTGCTGAGGGTGTTGGCGCTGAGACTAGTGCTGTCAGTCCTGCCGGCGGTCCTGCTGCGGGTGCTGCTGGTGCTACTGGAGGTACTGCAGCTGGTGGTGCTGTTGGCGCTGGTGTTGGCGCTGAGGGTGCAGGTGCTGTCCCTGCTATGTGTGGAGTCGCCGCGCGGCCTCGGCCGTACTTCGTTCCGCTCCTTCAGCAGGTTCTTGGTCTTCCTCCTCCCTTTGAGTGTCCACCGCCTGTCTAGTCACAGCCACAGTTACCGCCGGCCTCCCAACTGCCTTCTCCTTCTCCCTACACTGGTCCTACTGGAGGTCTTGCTGAGCGTCGTGAGCCTGCGTCTCGTCCTGCGTTGCCTGTTCGTGCTGCTCGCGCTAGTGGTCGCGGTTCGCGTCAGCGTCCTCCTCCTGTCCCTGGCACGCACCGGATGTCTCTGCGTCCGTCCACTGCTCCTCTGCGTGCCCCTTTGCCTTCTCCTCCTGAGTCCTCTCTTCCTGCACTTGCCGACCCGGAGTCGGACTCTCTTCCTGCTGCCAGTCCTACTGTCACGTGTCTCCTTGCTACTGTCGTCACTGACCCCTCCTTTGAGTCCACTGCTGCGTCTGCTCTTGTCGCTGAGCTCGTCGACTTTGCTGCTCGCTGTCGTCTAGACTACGCTGCTAGTCTTGTTGCTGAGTCTGAGTCTGTCTGTCCTCCGTCCGTCGGGGGTGAGTGTGCTCTTGGCACAGACGTCCTTGAGGACATGCAGGAGGAGTTCCAGTGTCTGGCTGCTGCTTCACCTCATCTCGTGTCCGTACTGCTTACCCCTGAGGGAGACCCGGATGCACTTGACATCCCGACTCCGCGCTCTTACACGGAGGCCGTAGAGGGTCCCTACTCCTGTCAGTGGCAGGCAGCTATAGATGCAGAGATGGCTTCCTGGAAGTCCACAGGCACCTACGTTGACGCGGTTCCCCCACCTGGGGCGAACATCGTCAGTGGCATGTGGATCTTCAGGGTGAAGCGGCCGCCAGGTTCTCCACCTGTCTTCAAGGCGCGGTACGTGGCTCGTGGCTTCAATCAGCGGCAGGGAGTTGACTACTTTCAGACCTTCTCTCCCACCCCGAAGATGACCACTCTTCGGGTGCTGCTGCACATAGCAGCTCAGCGTGACTACGAGCTTCACTCCCTTCACTGCTTTCTTGCAGGGTAGCCTTCACGAGGAGATCTGGGTGCGCCGTCCACCTGGCTTCACTGGGACTTTTCCTCCTGGCACCCAGTGGAGCCTCCGACGGCCAGTCTACGGTCTCCGCCAGGCACTGCGTGAGTGGCACGACACACTGAGGACTACACTTGCGGCTCTTGGGTTTGCTCCCTCTACTGCCGACCCGTCGCTGTTTCTACGCACCGACACCTCTTTGCCGCCGTTCTACATCCTCGTGTACATCGACGACTTGGTCTTTGCCACTGCTGACACTGCTGGACTCGCCCACGTGAAGTCAGAGCTGCAGAAGAGACACACGTGCACAGACCTGGGTGAACTGCGCAGCTACCTTGGCTTGCAGATCACCCGGGACAGAGCACGCCGCACCATTACCCTGACTCAGTCACACATGGTGCAGCAGGTCCTTCAGCGCTTCGGCTTCACGTACTCCTCGCCTCAGGCCACTCCTCTGTCTACTTGCCACTCGCTCTCAGCTCTGCCTTCGGATGAGTCCGTAGAGTCGAGTGGCCCATACCCAGAGCTTGTTGGCTGCCTCATGTACCTGATGACCTGCACACGACCTGACCTTGCATACCCTCTTAGCATTCTTGCACGCTATGTTGCTCCTAGGAGACACAGACCAGAGCACATGGCTGCAGCGAAGAGGGTGTTGCGCTACTTGTGCAGTACGTCGGAAATGGGGCTAGTGCTTGGAGGGCAGAGTCCAGTGGTCCTCACTGGGCACGCAGACGCTTCTTGGGCTGACGACCAGGCTAGAGAGCGGTCGTCACAGGGTTACACCTTCAGCCTTGGTTCCGGCTCTGTTTCGTGGCGGGCTACTCGCTCGTCTTCTGTTCTCGGCTCCAGTTGTGAGGCTGAGATCTACGCCGGGGCCATGGCTGCTCAGGAGCTACGCTGGCTTACCTACTTGCTGACTGACCTCGGAGAGCCGCCTCGTTCTCCTCGAGTGCTGTACGTAGACAACAAGGCCATGCTGGCCTTGTGTCGGGAGCAGCGCGTGGAGCACAGAACGAAGCACATTGCTCTCCGCTACTTTCTTGCTCGTGAGCTGCAGCAGCGTGGTCAGTTGCGACTTGCGTACGTGGCCTCTGAGGCCAACACTGCTGATATCTTCACTAAGGCTCTTGCGCCTTGTGATCATCAGCGCTTCTGTACTCAGCTTGGTCTTGTGCTTGTCTTGCCTCACTTGCTCACTTCTTGACCTTGCTTGTACTGTCACATATATATATATATATATATATATTCCTGCTCTTGCTTGTTTAGCCTTTTATATATATATGTGTACTCCTGCATGTGAACTGGCTGTCTGTCCTTGAACTTGTGCTCGGAATGTGTGGTGACTTTGTGATCCTCCCTGAGCTTTGCTTTGCTTTGCTTGACTGGTCTTGTGACCCCTTGTTCTCCCCCACTTTGCCTATGGAGGTGTGTCAGATTTGTATGACATAGCTGTTGTAGGCTATAGTGGGGTAGCACATATGGGGTACAGCTTTGTAGGGTTGTATTTGTACCCAACTTTCACTCAGTCATTTCATTCTCGTTCTAACTTTCTCAAATTGAATTGTGGGACCCTCGAGCGTTTTATCTCCATTCTCCAAAAAGAAAATTTTGCCAGGGAGTTTCGCGAAGTGCGCATTTCATTTCGAAGTCAGGCGAACCAGAGCAAGAAGAAATTCGGCGAATTCGTAATTCCGTCAGTAACTATGCGAATCGTTAGGTGTTTTCATGAGCTGTCATGGCCACGAATCTCCACGAGTTTCCACGAGCTCCCATGAACAAGTATGGGCTACACAATTATGCGTGGGCGAGTATGTTGCCACTGATTTTGCGTGGAGACAGTTGGCATTTCGGAGTATGGTGCTAGCTAATATTTTGGTGGGCTGTTAGCTTTCGCTTTTGGTGGGTTAGTATCAATCTTTGCTTGTGCATGTTTGTGATCAATCTTTGTGAACCTTCTATGAGTGAATATTGCTCTTACAACGTATTGATGTGAAGAGTACAATCTGCACACGAGCCAATCAATCATATGACGCTGCGCAACGGAGCTTGGGAGTACACTAGTGCACACGATCGTTTTAACACTTGGGAAATCCCTCTACAAACACGGACCCTTGGTGAGGGGCTGGTTCTACCAGGCACCCGAGGACCCTTGGAGGTGACCCCGTGGGGACATTCTAGTGTTAATTAAAGGTGTGCTTAGATGTTCTAGTCCCAATAGTAGTCAACATGTGCACCGACACCACCCTGCACTGGCCGAATTGTTAGAACATTATAGCTTATACATCTGTGTAGGATATAGTGGGGTAGCCCATAAGGGGTACAACCCAATTAGGGTTAGTACTTGTACCCAACTGTTTCATAGTTCAATCATCCTCTCGTTCTAATCTTCACATGGTATCAGAGCTAGTTCCCTCGTGGGAACTGTTCCTAGGGCCCACCGATATTTTTTTCCTGCCCGGAGCGCACTTGGCCCCTGCCCGAGTCGCGCCCTGTGTCGTTCCCCCTCGCGTCCTCTAGCGGCCCCTCTTACGGCCCCTAACGGCCCCGTCGCGCCGCCCTTGCGGCCCCGTTGCTGTGAAAGAAAGAACGAGAATGGAATGACTATGAACGAAGTGAGTACAAATAGGAAACCCTAATTGGGTTGTACCCCCTATGGGATACCCCACTATAGCCTACACAAATAAGTAAGCTATAATGTTCTGACACACCCCCATAGGCAAAGTGGGGGAGAACAAGGGGTCACAAGACCAGTCAAGCAAAGCAAAGCAAAGCTCAGGGTGGATCACAAAGTCACCACACATTCCGAGCACAAGTTCAAAGGACAGACGGCCAGTTCACATGCAAGATCATATATAGAGATATACAAGAGTCAAGCAAGCAAGAACAAGAGTATATATAGGTGAAGGTACAAGCAAGGTCAAGAAGTGAGCAAGTGAGGCAAGACAGGCACAAGACCCAGCTGCGTGCAGCAACGTTGATGATCACAAGGCGCAAGTGTCTTGGTGAAGACATCAGCAGTGTTGGCCTCAGAGGCCACGTACGCAAGTCGCAACTGTCCACGCTGCTGCAGCTCACGAGCAAGAAAGTAGCGGAGAGCAATGTGCTTTGTCCTGTGCTCCAGTCGCTGCTCTCGACACAAGGCCAGCATGGCCTTGTTGTCTACGTACAGGACTGGAGGAGAACGAGGCGGCTCTCCAAGGTCGGTCAGCAGGTAGGTGAGCCAGCGTAACTCCTATGCAGCCATAGCCCCGGCGTAGATCTCAGCCTCACAACTGGAGCCGAGAACAGAAGACGAGCGAGTAGCCCGCCACGAAACAGAGCCGGAACCAAGGCCGAAGGAGTAACCCTGTGACGACCGCTGCGTAGCCTGATCTCCAGCCCAAGAAGTGTCCGCGTGCCCAGTGAGGACCACTGGACTGCGCCCTCCAAGCACTAGCCCCATGCCCAATGTACTGCACAAGTAGCGCAACACCGTCTTCGCTGCAGCCATGTGCTCTGGTCGGTGTCTCCTAGGAGCAACATAGCGTGCGAGAATGCTGAGAGAGTATGCAAGGTCAGGTCGTGTGCAGGTCATCAGGTACATGAGGCAGCCAACAAGCTCTGCATACGGGCCACTCGACTCTACGGACTCATCCGAAGGCAGAGCTGAGAGCGAGTGGCGAGTAGGCAGAGGAGTGGCCTGAGGCGAGGAGTACGTGAAGCCGAAGCGCTGAAGGACCTGCTGCACCATGTGTGACTGAGTCAGGGTAATGGTGCGGCGTGCTCTGTCCCGGGTGATCTGCAAGCCAAGGTAGCTGCGCAGTTCACCCAGGTCTGTGCACGTGTGTCTCTTCTGCAGCTCGGACTTCACGTAGGCGAGTCCAGCAGTGTCCGCTGTGGCAAAGACCAAGTAGTCGACGTACACGAGGATGTAGAACGGCGGCAGAGAGGTGTCGGTGCGCAGAAACAGCGACGGGTCGGCAATAGAAGGAGCAAACCCAAGTGCCGCAAGCGTAGTCCTCAGTGTGTCGTGCCACTCACGTGGCGCCTGGCGGAGACCGTAGACTGGACGCCGGAGACTCCACTAGGTACCAGGAGGGAAAGACCCAGTGAAGCCAGGTGGGCGACGCAGCCAGATCTCCTCGTGCAGGCTGCCCTGCAAGAAAGCTGTGCTGAAGTCGAGAGAGTGCAGCTCGTAGTCGCGGTGAGCAGCAACGTGCAGCAGTACCCGAAGAGTGGTCATCTTCGGGGTGGGGGAGAAGGTCTGAAAGTAGTCAACTCCCTGCCGCTGACTGAAGCCACGAGCCACGTAACGCGCCTTGAAGACAGGCGGAGAGCCCGGCGGCCGCTTCACCCTGAAGATCCACATGCCACTGACGATGTTCGCCCTAGGAGGGGGAACAGCGTCAACGTAGGTGCCTGTGGACTTCCAGGAAGCCATCTCTGCATCCATAGCTGCCTGCCACTGAGAGGAGTAGGGACCCTCTATCGCCTCCGCGTAAGAGCGCAGAGTCGGGATGTCTAGTGCATCCGGGTCTCCCTCAGGGGCGAGCAGTACAGACGCGAGATGAGGTGAAGCGGCGGCCAGACACTGGAACTCCTCCTGCCTGTCCTCAAGGACGTCCGTGCCTAGGGCACACTCACCCCCGACGGACGGAGGACAGGCAGACTCAGACTCAGCGACAAGACTAGCAGCGTAGTCTAGACGACAGCGCGCAGCAAAGTCGACAAGCTCAGTGACAAGGGCAGACGCAGCAGACGACTCGAAGGAAGGGTCAGTGACAGCAGTAGCAAGGAGACGCGTGACAGTGGGACTGGCAGCACGAAGAGAGTCCGACTCCGGGTCGGCAAGAGCAGGAAGAGAGGAAGCAGGAGGAGAAGACAAAGGGGCACGCAGTGGAGCAGTGGACGGACGCAGAGACATCCGGTGCG